TACAAAAAAATCTTTTGCAAAAATAAGAAATATTCGAAAAATATTATTTAAGAACAGTTTTCTATCAAATTGATTTAATTGGGAATCGAACCATTGAAGCCTCAGAATTACTGACAATTCTTAAATTTTTATGAGACCTATGTCAATCGACCACAGAAGTACATGAAAGCAACTCAGCTTAAAACTTAACATAATTAGCAAAATTCTGTGAAATTATTGAAACTTAAGTCCAAAATTTTTAAAACTTCATAACAAACTGAATTTTCTATTAAAAATAAATTATGAATCACTAGAAAAGTCATCAATAATTCACACAAATTCTCTCTACCCTGACTAAATGCGTCATAAATCACACCATGTAATAGACAAGCTCATTTCAACTCAATTTAGTTTCGATATAAAAAATGTGATAGGTGTTTATCTACCAAGAAAATTGACCTGATTTATGGATCAAACTTTTATTATTTTGCTAATTTAAAGACTTCATTAAATTGATGAATTTTTAATTATTTTACGTCACACTTGGTTATCAACGCATTACAACTTGTTTTCCTCATAAAACTAAATTACACAGCTGTAAATATTTATTATAGGTATGGACTATCATATTTGATATTTCCCACAATAATCGAATTCTCTCAATAAGCATACAAAAACGCAATTATAATTGTTATGTATAATTATAGGTCGTGCCTATATGATTTCTAATCAAAAATAATGTTGCCGCATTATGGGGATGGTTGGCAAGTGAGGTTTGTTTGGAATGAAGCTTGTTTTGAGGTTGGATCAAAAATTTTTTAATGAGAATTGAATGTGAAGCGTAGAACGGTTCTCAATGTGATGAATCGGTCTCAAATATGACTGAAGTTCAAACTGTACAAGAAATTAGATCCATGGAGTAGAATGGCTAGACTAACAGAGTAGCGTTGGAACAGAGAAGCAGATCGACAGTAGGTTAAGAATATAGAGATGTAGGACCGGAGAAACAGAAAGACTGAGGGTTCAAAATACAAGGAGGCAGAGGGAATAGGGTGCAGAGGCATAAACAATGGAAAACAGAAATATAGAAGCAAAGAGGGACAACAGAGTAACAAACGAACAGAGTGACAAACCAACAGAAGAGCAGGAGGTACATGATGACATGCAGACAGCAGGCAAGACTCTTAGAATGAAGAGTGCTAATGAAACTTATACCCGAATAGCACAAGTCGGTTAATCGAATAGAAATCCGGCACCAAACCGATATGACTCTAGCATAGTGCTGGACTTAAATTGAATCCAGCATTATGCCAATCAATTCAGGTTGGTGCTGGATTTCTATTCGATTAACCGTCTTGTGCTATTCGGCATATTAAGCTTTATATCAGTGATGACCAACCTTTTTTGTGCCGAGGCATACTTTGATGGTAAGACATGACTGAAACCTTACACGGCATATAGTTCGAGGGATTACTGTATTTTTTTCCTGACACATGGGTTGGCCATCACTGCACTATACAAACATTGACACAACTTAGAGAAGGAGCTTAAAATTACAATCCCTAACATTACATAACACCCCAACAACCCCCTCAAATATCATCAACTAAAAACCATTTCTTTTTATTTCCCATTTTATTCATACCGTGTCTGCATGAACATGAAAAAAAATTATTTTGCGATTTTTGCACGTCTCATTGATATGAAATTCAAATAAGGCATTTGTGGCATTTTTTATGCATTAAAAATTCATAGTTTGATTTCATGTTATTCCTCTTCTTTCCTCCTTCACCTTCTTGTAATTTTTTTTGTGAGCGAAACAAAAGAAGCTTGCCATTCATCAATTTCACATCAAACTAATATTTTCGCAAGAAAATTTCTTTTTTTCTTTCTTTTGCAATTTCTATATTTTAACTTTGGAAATTTTATGATCTGAATATGAAGTAGCTTCACAAGAAAAACGGCAATATTAGCTAACCGGCGTGGTAAATACAACAATAAAGTATAAAAGGTTCAGGTAAAATCCATCAATTCGCGACCATGAACCAGATTCTTTTTTTTTTTGCTAATATGTTTTTTGACTTAGCAGTAAAAAGCAGAAAGAAAACCTTCGAAGAATAAATTTAAAACTGTAAAAAGATACGAGCATACATAAAAGCACAACTTTATTTTCGCCACGCATGTTTTATTTCTTTTTTGTACACAAAGATATAATGTGAAGAATTTTTTAAAACGTATGGCAATTCATGTATGATTCCTGTATCTGTACTGTGCTTTGTGTACATTTATAATCACTATTTTGCAGCATATTTCAACATTAGTCATTATGGATAATATTGTGAGTGAGAAGAAGCGGATAAGTAGCTTTAAGGTTTTATTTTCAGTGGTCGATGGTAGATTTTTGAAAATGGTAAGATGTGCGGATGTTGCACATCCGTCTGCTGATCTATTGATTTGTAGATTATTGGAGTTATTGTTATGAAGATGCACAAAAGGTATGATTTTGCATAACTTATTGATGCTTAAGAAGAAAATTTGCGGTCATGATCGTTTTAGATGGACTTAAGTTGATTCATATCAATCTTTTGATGGCATTGCTGCATGTCAGTCCATAGGAGAGGGATTTAAGGTTTATTTAGAGTTCATTTGCAAGCTTTTCAAACAAGAACTTATCCGAATAGCACAATTCGGTTAAGACTCTGGCATGGTGCTAGCTTCGTTTCGTTTTAAGCCCAACAGCATGTCAGAGTAACACCGGCGTGTTGCTAGATTTCCGATAGATTAACCGACATGTGCAATTAGGGTTAGTCAAAAATTTCTCAAGAGTTAAGGTTCGACTCCCAAAACTCTACTAGTCAATGCCTTTGATTCTTAAAGGTTTTTGCTGATTGTTGTCTAAAGGCAGGATATGCCTCGATTTCAGCTCTGGTAAAGCGAGACAGACCAAATTTTCAAGCATTTTCCAAGAAAAATAGGTTCAATAAAGCGGGACACTGAGGTTTTAAGGCGGGACTTTGTTCAAAAAAGTTGGACTGATATACTCAAAATTGCGCATTTGGACAGCCTATTTAAGAATCAAAACTAAGTTATCACATCATCAACAGCACTTCTTTGTCATCCACGTGAACATTACCATAACTTTGCTTAACAAATCTAGATTCAAATGCTAATTCCTTCAATAAAAATCAAGAACACACAACTATTGCGCTTCTGTGTGAATCAGAGTTGCGAAAAGAAACTCACGAGAATCGCTGAAGTCGAAAGAATTCACCTTGAGTCACCGACATGAAAAAAACATTTATGCAAATAAAACTATTTTTAAAAAAAATGAATTTTAAAATTCCATAAATTTGAAGCTCTTTTTGACTCATCAAAATATAAATAATAAAGCAGCGTACGCGGAATTTTGTTTATCAACATAGTTTTTTTAATGCTGATAAATGGATTCCGGAATTAAAGTGAACTTAATTCTTTATCAAAAAGTATTTTTCATAGAAATTTCAAGCCCTAATCAAGTCTATTTTTTTTTATCTGTTTAAAATTATTGATGAAGTATTTAATCAATTTTTACGTCATTACTTCTGTTCCTCTTATAAGGAAGTCAATTTACGTTTCATTAAATTTCTCCAATTAGCTTGAAGAGAATTTTTGTATTGTTGTTCATGGAGTGTGACGAAAAAATATTTAAAATTGTAAAAACTGCACGACGACCTGATTGAGTAATTTGAGTATAGCATCAAATACTCAATAAAAAATAATAATGAGAAAATTGCAAACTTAGTCGACTTTAACTGCTGGTGTGTGATTTTATATTCTATTTTGCATTTGAGTCATGAGTCATGGGTTTCGGGGGTGTATTTGGAAATATTTTGGAAGTGCTTTAGTATGCACATACCTCTTGATGAAGCAATAACAATTTTTTGTTGAATAATTTTGGACTCTCAATAGCCTTATTTATATGAGTTGATACCTGTTATCAGGTGCATAGCCAAGAGGGCGGGGGATTCGACAGTAGACATTTATTTATTCCTCCCTACTTTTAGTTCCTGACTACACCCCTGCCTGTTAAAAATATAGAACCTTTTATGATCTTAGGACAATATATGAATCACTTTAAATACGTGTGAAGCCATTAGTAATCCCTTTGGAAGCTCTCAACCTCCCAAAACTTTAAATTGCGTCTACAACGAGGTACAGACTTTCCTGAACGTGTACAGACTCCGCTAATCTGAATGGCGCAATTCGGTTAATCCATCTGAAATCCGGCTTCAAGCTTGTGTGACTCTGGCATGGAACTGGATTTAAATCGAAGTCAGCATTATGCCAGAGCAGAGCTCTACAAAATTTCATCGACTTCGAGCTCTGTGCCAGAGTCACTCTAGCTTGGCGCTGGATTTCTATTCGATTAACTGACTTGCGCTTTTTCGAGTAAATTTGCATAGATCCACTTTGCATAAGTTCGACTAGTCAAATCTTATACCAAATGTGTGGATCAGTTTTTAAGGCTAATCAAAGGACTAAGTCTAGTATCAGTTAAATTTTTCCTTATAGTTTTCAGTGAGATACGTCGATTTTCGATACAAGAGTAAAAAGCTCCGAGCATCCATAGAGACTATCCCTTAATAAATTTCACCCAATATGTCTTACAAGTCAAATACGTTTATATCTTCTTGCACAAACCTAGTCTCACAAAATTGAATAAAATCTCTCTAAAGCATTTAAAACTCTCTGCAATAGACCCAAAAATAAAAATTCATATTTACAGCTAAACTAGCTCATCGCTCAACATGGAAGTAAACACAGAGCGAAAGATGTAGAAAAATTAATTCATTCGTTTTATAATTACGCAAATAATAAACAAGAAGTTGTTAAAAATTACTTCATAATTTTTTTTTTTCAAAAGAAAATTACACCACGCAAGACGCAAAACAACGAAAAAAGTAATTCCAACAATGGGTGTAAAAAGAGTGCATAATCACTTACAACAAGAAGTTTGATGAAATATTGATAATAAAACTTACCTTTACTTCCTTAACGCGCGTTCTTATACTCGATTTGCCATTTGGTATGACATTTGCATTCTCAAATTCGACATCACAAGGTGAGGCAGGACCCTAGTTTGAGTAAAACGAGAAATAAAAAATCGTTATTAATTTGATATGCACTTGCGAATATTAATCGAGACGGAATTAATTTTATTTTTTTTTGCAACATTTGATTCCTATATGGAGGTTTTGAAACATGTGCAGTGGTCGTATTGAGACAATAATATGATAAATAAATAGCAATTTTAAGGTCGTTTGCTGTGGTTTGCAAGCTGTCAGATTTTTTTATGATCATATCTTGCACAAATGTAGGAAAATAATCAGATTTTAATGCGATATTGTGTAGACTTAGTTGAATTTCAATATGTATGAAAAAATTAGTAATTAGTTGGAGATTTTGTTGCAAAAATGACCACCTGAAAGCTAGAGCTTTCGATAATTCATAAGTCAGGAGTTGTGAACTGTCTCAAGGTTAGGAAATTTCATTAATATTTTAGTAATTGAATGTTAGTAACACAGATTATCAATTGGAGTCTATTAGTTCATATTATAATCTATTTAAAATCTATATCAGGGGCGTACTTAGGACTAATAATATATATGTGAGAAATTGGACCAAAAAGAGCTTGATTTGAAGTCAAAACACTCATAAGTTATCTTACAATTCACATATCCCTCATCAGGCGCGTAGCCAGGAAGGTATTGCCCCCCTCTTAAGCGTTTTAGGGGACAAGACCCTTCTGGCTACGCGCCTGGCCCTCATCAAGGTACTAACTTACATCAATCTACTCCCACACACTCCACAATCCAACTTTCACGTGCCACAAAACCTTTTTACAAAATTGCTCATGAATTAAAAAACAAACATTTTTTTACACGATTAAAAAACAACAAGTTGCGAAAGTCAGACAGCACATGTGGAACGGTAGTAATGTGACATACACGACAAGTAAATTATTATCATTTCGTGACAGTTTTAGCAAAAATTTGTTCAATTCATATTTGCCGAAACCATAAATGTTATCGAGCGATTGATGGATTAGGTTTTTTTGCAATTATTTGAAGGATTGATCAGGTGTTGGGGAACTAATTTAGAAAGGGGGACAAGATGGGGTAGTTAAAATAATTACTTGGTTGTTTTTCAAATTTTTCAGGTTGTTTGGTTGCCTTGAAAAACGATAATAAAGGAATTTTTCTGTCTAGATTGGGATTTTAAGTTCAAAACGCTTCTTAGGCTCCTTTTCTGCAGCCCCTAGCACTCCTAGTAATGCCAAAAAGATACAATATAGTAAAAATTATGAAATTCATAAATGAAGTGATCACTTGTTGATCTAAGACATTTATAATAGTAGTTTTAGTGGCATTACTAGGGTTAGACATATGCAAGGCATCAGGGACTGAGTTCTAGAACATCCCCAGAGCCTCCAGCTTGAATGCTTTGAAGATATAAATCAATTTAACTTGGGCAAGAGAAGATACTCCTAGTTGCCCAAGAAAACGACTCCTATTACTGAAAAGCTCACCATGAAATGTTTGTAAATCGCTCGTCTGATCAATTGACAGTTTACAAAGCAGAACTAAGATTAGCCTCAATTGTGAATAATTGTAACAAAATATAAATTATATAAAACAATTACTTTATAACTTACATGCTCATATTTGCGCTCAACATTCAAAATTCCACATTATTACATCCATGACTACCACAAAACACCAAACAACAACTCAATTCCTAATGCCACTCAATTCTAATCAAATCAAGGAAGCAAAGAATGTGACATAATACTCAAGTAAAACATTCAGAAGGCCAATAAACATTTTTACTTAATGTCTTCTAGCTTAAAGCTTCTTTTATTGTTTATGACAATTATTGTCATAAAAATTCTACTGTAATCAAATACGCTTTGCTGTTTTATCAAATTTCAAATGAATTTACTGCAACGTTCTACAGAATATGGAAAGCTTGCGTAATAAAATGAACTTTGTTAAACATTCTGTGTCACTTCTTAGATTGTATATTTTTTTGTGGTAATTCCAAATGTTTGTGGAATTTTATGCGTCATTATGAGTGTAAGAAATTTTATGAAATTTTCAGTGAACTGTTTGGACATTGATGTTGTGGAAATGCGTGAGTCAGATAAAATTCGGTATGGAATTCAATAAATTTGTAAGGATGAACCTGATTGAGAATTTTAAGCCTTAGTTCTGATTTAGATAAAGTATTCAACGTTCAATGAACGAAAGGAACTTAGTTCTAGTTTAGATAAAGTGTCCATCGTTTAATAAACAAAGGAAACTTAGTTCAAATTAAGATAAAGTATTCAGCGTTGAATGTACAAAGGAAACTTAGTTCTATTTTTGGGTAAGTTCTAATTTTGATGACCAAAAATATTGAAACTGAACATTCAGTTCTCATTTAAAAGCCCACAAATATCGCTTTTAAATCTTGTTCAAAAATATTAATTGCCTCAAATTCTTCACTTACTTTGAGGTCAACATTCTCAAAACAACAGCCAAAAAACTAAGGACCCACACGTAGTAAGTATCACAAAAATGTACACAACATGTTACAGTTCAAAAAATAAACAAAAAAACACTGACTTCTTCATGTCTTTAAATGTTCCAAAACCTCAATATACAAAAAATTTTCATGCATATTCTGAAAACTAGTGCAATTATTTATGATGAATAATCAAAATAAAAAATAGTTTACCATTTGATATTGATCTTCGGGATCCGTTGATGAATCTAATGTTAGATCACCCAATAGCACGAAACCAGACTCATTTGGCTGAAACAAATTACAATGAAAAGAGAATATAAATTATTTTAAATTTGGAGCTTAAAAATTATAAATTGATAATAATGATATGTTTCCCCCTTTCACAAGTCATGAAATAAAGTTTTGAAATCGACTCCGAAAATAGAAGAGCTTCATTATCAACATAAAGAACAATTTTAGAAAATTTACAGTAAGTTTTATGAAAAGAAGCATATAATTTCTTTTTATCGAGCATTTCCTCGTTAAAATTTAAAATGCTTGAACATTACTCGAGCATTGTTTTGTATCGTGGATTATTCAAATTCAAAATAGTACGGGTATAGACGTGGTCAATCATGAGTGACGAAAGCGCATTTTTGGGGTGGTGCATAAGTGTTGCTTACTTGAGAAGAACATTGAATCAAATCTCAATTAATGGGCTGGAAATAGGTATTGTGGCGTTATTAACGTAGCATTCTGTCTCTTTTACATTAGAGTTGCCTTTAGTCGACTATGATTGGTTACTCAGAATTGTTAATTGATTTATTATTTCACCAAGACGGCAATGTCATTAGGATCAGTATGCAGAGCTCGAAGTCCATGAAATTTTGAAATCATACAAAACCAATGAAAATCTCTAGCCGACTTCAAGCTCTGTCAGTATGCCATAACTTTTAAGATATCTGAACAAAGTTCTGATTCGGTCTAATCAACAATTTGATACTCATGGGTCATTTAAAGACATATTCTAATAATAACAGAAAAAACCAAAAAATCTCTGATGTTATCAACACCAACCCCATCATGTCAGTCTAATCAGGTTATCTTAGTCTTTCCTATGACATGCTTAGTTGCAGCAAAAAGTTGGTGCTTGGGCTGTGATGTTAAAACAGAGTGGGATCTGAGGTTTCTAGCTATATATAGATAAATTGGTCAGTTTAAAGACAAAATCTACGTGACCGAGTCACTCAACTAGCTTTTGAGCACAAAGGACGTTCTCAGAAGCCAATCTTTTAATCACTAGTCAAGAATGATGTGTGTCTATATCACATTACAACAGATTTAACTACAGAGGTAAGATTACGAGGTAGATAGACTCAGACTACCGCCATTCCGAAAACGACCGTTATTTTTTGAAAAATGGACAAAAAAAAGTTGGTATGATTAAAAAAAATGACTGTTTGAATTCAAAAACAAAATTACAGTTAAAATCATGGAAAGCTAATTCAGATTATTTATTTAAACTTTGATGCAAACAGCTCCTTTCGATTTAAAAAACGTTTCTGATGAGACAATTTCAATCTAAAATTTAAAAAATCCTTTAAAAAGTCTTCAAATATCGAAATGCAATGATTAAAACTAGTTGGAATTTCTTTCACTGCTGCGTTCACACAAGTGGAGATTAAGCGAAGGATCTTGGCTGCGCAGCGTGCATATTTTGCAATTAGACATTTACTAACATCGAAGAGAATAGCGAGAAATGCCAAACTAGTGATGTACAAGACACTAATACGCCCAGTAGTGTTGTACGGTTCTGAGTCATGGAATATGACTATCGCAGATGAGAACGCAATTGGTGTATTTGAGCGTAGGGTCTTGCGAATTATATTTGGACCGAAGAGAGAAGGTGACTTTTACAAAAGCAGGAGTAACGCAGAATTATATCAGCTTTTCAATGAAGCTGATATCGTACGACGAATCAAAGTCAACAGACTCCGTTGGGCTGGACATGTCGTTAGGAGACCTGTTGAAGCTCCCATTAATAAAGTCTTTAAGAATGTTTTTGTAGATGGCAAAAGAACACGCGGGCGACCCAAGAACTCTTGGAAAGAAGCTGTTGACAGAGACAGTATTGCATTTGGTATGGTTAATTGGCAAACGGAAGCCAGCGACAGAGTCAGCTTCAGGCGCCATCTAAGGGAGGCCATGGATCACAATTGATCTGTACGGCCAGCGAAGTAAAGTAAGTAAGCTGCGTTAAAGGATGATTTAATTGGGGATGCGGAGTGGTTTCTATCAACTGAATCACATTGTCTATAAATAAATTCAATTTTGTAGCAAAATGAAAGAAATATTGGAGAAGGTTTTAAAGGCATTCGAAATATTGCTTTTCCATCCTTTCGTTTGTTTTCACAATTAAAGACTGCGCACTTGCTCATTTTTGTATTTATTAAATACTTATTTAAGTGATTTTACTGTTTAAAATGTCTCAAGGAATTTATTTGCTTACATTATGCATAACGGAAAAAAAATATTTGAACTATTTCGAAAACTTCGAAATTAATTTCAAAGCAATTTCGAAGTTTTCGAAAATGGAATGGCGGTAGTCTGGATAGACTAATTGACATGCTGGCAAACCAGCAATAATAATCATTTTATTGTTAAATACCCAAAAATAACTTTCATAGTTTTTGGAATAAAAGAAAATTTTATTTCGCTTTTTTTCTGTTGTTTCCATCCGCATTCAATTTCAGGGCTAATGTCAAAAAAAAATCTATGGCAATAAACAGAGGAAGAAAATCGATTTAAGATTTCTAAGGTCTGATAACGCATTGAATTATCTAATTTACTATGAATGAGAAAATGATGAAAATGTAGATACGCCAAATAAGCTTTCAAGCAATATTTTATGAGTCAGTAGAAGCAATTGATCATCAATTTTACTACTTTATGACTTTTCTATAAAGCGCACACGCCAAAAATGCGATCGGATAAAAAAACACGAATGAATAAATTAATGTTGAGATAGTCGCTGTGCTGATGAGAGACTTGAAGAATTTTATGTGATTGATAAAAAAATATCTTTCAGATTTACTTAATTTTTTGACGCAAAATGTGCAAACTTTTTATTAAAGCTTCAAGGTGGAGCACTTTAAGTAAACAAATAAAATATTAAAAGTTTAAAAAAGCAATTTTGAAATTTTTTGTGGGAACATAAAGTCTAATCTTGACCGAAAAGGTTGATTAGGAAATCGACGGAAATCATCATTTATGTTTTCAAACGAGAAGTTGGTCAATTGAATTGAAGAAATTTGAATTAATTGAGAGAGAAAAATAATAAAACAAATCGTAAATAAAAATCGACCGGCGTTTTGAAATTTTTTTCATTGTGAAAATTAAAGTTGAATTTATTGTTGAATTTTAAAAGATTGTTTACTTTGGGAATCTAAGTTTGATGAAGGGAGAAATTTTAGAAACTTAGAGGATTATCAAAATCAATTGGACTGAGGCTCATCTAGGCTTAATCCAGTGTTTTCCAAACTTTTTAAGCCACAACACACCTTAAGGGTAAGCCATGACCAAAATCGCACAAAGCATGCAGCTTGTGTCATTTCAAAAAAATTCTACGACACACAGGTTGGACAACACTGGCTTAATTCAAGGCGGGGACACTAGGATCAATCCCAATAATCCTGAACAATCCCAGCAAATTTTTGAATGTTCACGCCTTGGCTTAATTACTAATTCATAGTACAAAAACCAGAGCTCGAAGTCGAGTCGAGATTTTCATCGATTTTGTATGGATAAGTCCACTTTGAGCTCAGAAAAGAACAATTGCTTTTAAGTCCCCCAAATCTTATCTTTTCTGACCAAACCCAATAAACAACATAAATAAAAGATTTTGAAATTCATCATCTAGACCCTCTTCCCTGTTCGGCTTGCTGCTGTTTCAAATTTATCAAAAATTCAAAATTTTCACTTTCTCAACTTCAACAATGCAAGTAACATCCAGACTCAAATTATCTAACAATTCTTCAAAATCCATCAAACGAATACGCAAACACAAAAAACATAAACAACTCAATTCTTTTTTTTTCTAAACAAATCCGTTAAAAAGAGAAAATTGACACAGTGCAAGTATGCGACAGTGAAAAGTTTCAGTTGTTAAACAATTTTCGAAGTCACCTACTTTTTTTTTGTGTGTCGATTTATACAGCATACATGCTCATGAGACTTTTAATAATTCATATTATTATCATCAGTGATTTGGGGTAAAAGAGTAATCATCACCCAATCTCTCAGATACTTGAACATTATTAATAAATGAGCATAGACATAAATTTTTAATGTGATCCCGTTTTTAATACATTTCTCGCAAAATAAAGCAGTACAAAATAATTAGAAAAAGGACTTAATGACCATCATATATTACGCTCTGAATCATCATTATCAACAGCAACAAAACAAAGTTGTTTACGCTGTAATGTGCTGTTATCAATAAGAGCATACACATTTAATGCTCAACACATTCAATTCATTCTTCTTTCTAGTTCTGATGTTAAGCTCTTATCAATATCGATTTTTGATTTTTTTCTAGTGGGGATCATTCAGATATGATGTCTGTTGAAGCTGGGGGTTAATGACTTTTTTCTCATGCTCAACATCGTAGTTTGGTAAAATGATTAAGTTAATAAAATTTGGCTTCTTTTGAAGACATTTACGGGGCACAAAAGAACCCCCCCCCCCTTTTTTTGGGGGGGGGGGGGAATAAACAGAAAATTTTTGATATTAGAGCTGATTATTGTTGAGATAGATTTAGAAGTTTTGGAATTAATTAAGCAATTTAGAGAGATATTTCATCATAGGAAGAGATTCCCCCCCTTCCCCCCAATTTCCCATGGGTACGCTCCTGAACCTAGTTCATGACCTCCGAAATCAACGGTCATTTTTCAAAAACAAACAATGGATTTCCAGAAATTTCTATTGTTCTTTTTTTGCTGACCCCCCACCCCCCTCACCCCCTGGACGCCATAAGTGAACCCCCTTATTTAAACCACTGCATTTCAGCTCTCTCTTGATTGCAAATCTCTTTCCGATCACTTTTAGCTTGTCAGCAATAAAACATAGCTTCAGACTTCCTTCGTATTCATTAATGCATGACGTCATTAGTGAATGACCCCACAAATTTGTTTTTGTGTCAGTTTTTGTGTAATTTCAACGTTTGGTTCTCATAAGCCACATAAAAAATTTTAAATAATATTTAACAACTCTTTGGTTCACCGATAAACAAGAGCACAACTTTAGGGGGTCGTTTACGGATGATGTCTATTAAATGTTATGAATTATAAATTGCTTTTTCATTCTCTTTATAATAGAATATTCATTTAAGTCTCAATAGAGCTATTAATTGTTATGATCAAGATTAAGACTCAAAGTTCTGGAAACAGGTTTGCCTAGCTGCCTAGCAACAACCTAGCGCAAATAAGCTGAAAGATTAGTAGAAAAAACAATCAAGCTTCAGATTAACTCTGAAAGTCAGAAAGGTTTCTCTAGTGGCTTTTCCAAGGAAATAACAGTGATTAAGTCTTGATGTCGAGAATCTACGCTAAAATATTAGAACCATCCCGCCAGATTTAATAAAATTTTAGATGTCATATCCAAGCATCGTCAAATAACATCAAAAAAAAAACAATTCTAACGGAAGCAAATCTGGCAACATGTGACGACCATGCTTGTATGAAATTACTTTGCAGTAGGGGAACAAAAAAAGTTCTCGCTTTCAGTCGAGACATGAAATATTTAATATTCTGCTTCTTTTTCATGTATTTTTTTTCCTAACTTAATAAATACCGTTCACTTTACTGGACTAGCGCTCTTTCTTCTCCTTCTTATTATTTATTGCACGAGAATATTTAAAAAGAGAATTAGCAATTTAGAAATGTAAATGATGAAGCGAACGAGGCGCATTTCCGTACACAATCAGTGTAATTGACTGTGCTTCGTGGTGAAAAATCTGATTCTGATGAATTAAATTAAATGTTTGACCTAAATTTAATTCTGAATGAAATATAGCCGAAAAATATATTTTATGTGCTGTACCAAAAATTTAATAATGGGAATTTTTTCTTCGTCTCAGACATTCATTCACCAAATTGTGTAACTGACCTACCCAGTAAGAAAATTGGTCACTTATTAGGTCGTCATAAGTTCTATTTCTCATGACAATATTCTGAGACTCTCACTTATTAACAGCTGAATAAATAATTGAGCAATTATTAAATTATCAAGCTAGTTAACATAACTGCTGGTTAATTCAATTTATGGAAATTAATTAATTGAAAGTTCAAATATAGAATTTATAATGGCTAGACAGGTGAGTCAGAAATTGGAAATACTATGTCAATCGCTTCGTCATCGAGTTATCAAGAAATTTAATCAATAATTTATCAAATCATCAACGTTTTAAGTCCAAGGTTTTCAAAGAATCAGAATCGATTCCAATTTCGCCATGAAATGTTAATGAAAATTGGAAATATCGAACTTTCAAGGATTTTTAGTCATTAATTCTTTTAGGTATAACGCTATATGTATGATTATTAGCTAGTACATGAAAATAACTCAAAGAAGATACCCAAGTGATCAGGCAAGCAACAGAATAAGTGATTCTTTCTTTAGGGGCGTTGGTTCAATTCCTATCAGTAGCTAAACTCATTTTTATTGTATAAGTTGTGTCAGTACAGCTACTGTATTGATTTTGAGAATAAGCAGGTTAGAAAGTCGCCTCTGATGGCTAGAGAATCCAAAAGAAACCAAAAGATCCAATATCCCCAAAATCTCATCACAAAAGAACAAATCAAATTCTAATTGCCCATTAACAAGCCAGTTAATCAAATTATAAATCACAATAATTACCAGAAAAACATACCTAGCCTAACCAGCCAGAAAATCAGTAATTTAATTCAATCAATCACTTAATTAACTGCCCTATTATCCAGTCAAAATGAACAAAAAAACAAACCGCACAGTTTCAACAAGAATGAGTTCATAAAATATAAAGTCTACTTAGACTCGAGTGTGGGTCTGCATCAGGAAAAAAAATATTATTTACAGTACACATATTCAAGTAATGGAATCTATTAAAGAAGATATATTGTAAGTATTGAAATCTATTTGAATATTGTTTTTTTTTCTGCTCGTCTGCTAGCAGCTCTTCCTCTTACTTCCAATATTGTCTTATTAAATATGCCTTTTTAAGTAATATTACTTCAAATACATACATTAAAAATATATAATATAAAATATATAAAATAATAAAAAAAAAGAGAATTATAGAAATGAACGTAACGGGAAATCGCAACAGCAGCAGCAGTAAGAATCAACGCCAAAAAAGAAAAAGAATTCAAAGGCACAGTTTCTTATTCTTCATCACTACTCTCTTAAATTCTTTCTCTTACCCATCTAACGATGTATGAAAAAAAGTTCTTTTATGAATGTGATTAAAGCACGAAAATGTGTGTGCAGTATTCATTAGTAATATGAGAAGAGATTCAATGCATCCATGATTTACCGTAATCGCCGCACGATAACAACAATTTATAAGAAGTAAAGTAACAGACATTGTGAAATCTTGAAAGGAGATTTTTGAAGTCGTTCATTTATGATGTCAATCGTCAAAACTAGGAAATATAAATCAAATCCTAGTCGAAATAAATCAAGTACTAGTCAAAGCTAGTCAAAACTAGTCAAAATAAATCAAATACTAGTCGAAACTAGTCGAAATAAATCAAGTACTAGTCAAAGCTGGTCGAAACTAGTCTAAACTAGTCGAAATAAATCAAGCACTAATCAAATCTAGTCAAAACTAGTCAAAATAAATCAAGTACTAGTCAAAGCTAGTCGAAACTAGTCGAAATAAATCAATTACTAATCAAAGCTAGTCAAACTAGTCGAAATAAATCAAGCACTAGTCAAAGCTGGAAATCGAAATAAATCAAGCACTAATCAAAGCTAGTCAAAACTAGTCGAAATAAATCAAGCACAAGTCAAAGCTGGAAATCGAAATAAATCAAGCACTAATCAAAGCTAGTCAAAACTAGTAAATATAAATCAAATCCTAGTCGAAACTAGTCGAAATAAATCAAGTACTAGTCAAAGCTGGTCGAAACTAGTCTAAACTAGTCGAAATAAATCAAGCACTAATCAAATCTAGTCAAAACTAATCAAAATAAATCAAATACTAGTCGAAACTAGTCAAAGCTAGTCGAAACTAGTCGAAATAAATCAATTACTAATCAAAGCTAGTCGAAACTAGTCTAAACTAGTCGAAATAAATCAAGCACTAATCAAATCTAGTCAGAACTAATCAAAATAAATCAAATACTAGTCAAAGCTAGTCGAAACTAGTCAAAATAAATCAAATACTAGTCGAAACGAGTAAAAGCTAGTCAAAACTAGTCGAAATAAATCAATTACTAATCAAAGCTAGTCAAAATCAGTCGAAATTTGCCAAAGCTATTAAAAATTAGCAGAAACTAGTCGAAATTAGTCAAAGCTAATCAAAATTAGTTGAAAATAGTCAAAAACTAGTAAAGATTTTTTACCTCTTTTATTTTAAGTATTATAAAATCTCAGATTCATCCCTTAAAATATGGACATCATAACTGAACAACCCCAAAGAAAAGAATCAATTAAATGTTGCATAACTCACCTTCGGCAATTCACGCTTTCGTCTGAGAATGAGACCGTCATGTTCGATATAATCGGGAACGTCTTTCCTATCACTAAAATTAAATACAATTGAATTTGATGATTGATCATCGCCTTGTGATGACCAGGATTTCTTTTTCACTGCCCATTTTGTCGTAGATTGTGTATTTGAATTTGATGACGATGACGATGATGACGATGACTCACTATCACTGTTTAAGGAACTTTTGTCACTATTATTATTAATAATTAAGTTATTATCACGGGACTTTGTCATCACCGTGGTATTGTTATTGATATTTCTTGCTGGAACTTGCGGTGGAGGGGGCGGTGGTTTTGTCGTCGGTTTCGTAATCACAACAAAATTTTCCTTAACTGTCTTTAATTCACCATTGTTTACCACTTCACTAGCATTCGCAGTTATATTTTTCTCATAATTCACTTTTGTTGGTGCTGTGGTCGATGTGACACCCGACAAATTATTATTATTATTGGTAATAACTTTTGAAATTAAACTCACAGAACTTATATCATCGTTTACACTTTTCAATTCACTACCTTTAAGTTCGACAATCACATTATTTTTAATTTTGTTATCACTTATCGTGTCAACCTTATCAACATTCACATCAATGTCTGAATCATCGATGGTTTTAAGTAGATTATTGTTCTTGAATGATTTCGGCGTTGACGTTGTTACATCCATATGTAAGTTACTCAATTTATTTGATAGTGAGGACATGATCGGGGATGTTGGATCATTTGATCCAGATATTTTCTTATAAGATCCCTCATTGACAAATGGCGGTGACATTGAGTTCCGATATGGTGACATAATATTAGAACTTGATGAAATTGACGAGTCAGAATTGACTGGCGAGTAATCATTTCGCATACGATAAGCTTCCTTATTATCAGCTGGCGACCAACTTCCACTATGTGGAGACGATGATTTCGTCTCTAAATTATTCTTTATAATGTTTATGTCAAGTTTGGGCAGCACAGTTTTCTCTTTCGCAAATTTAGCATATTTCTCACTATTATTCATTGCATTATTATGATTATTACTATTATTACAGTTATTACTATTGATACTGCTACTGCTGGTATTGTTACTGACTTGATTAAAATGATTAATTGGCTTCGGACTAGATGTACGGGGTACAATATTTGGTTTCTTCGCACTTATCGCTGGCTTCTCCTGACACTTAAACATGGCCATCTTATTTGCAATCTCCTGACCTATCGGTCGACTCGCTGAATTACGTTTCTTGTGTGCGGAAGCCTCAAAAATTCTCATCGTTTGTTTGCAAATGCCAGCGGGAGGCCTTTCCCCATCATCAATAAGTGATGTTAAACGTTTTGGTGGCAAGTTGTATGATCGTTCACGAGCATTGTGTATTTTATCCTCAATTGTAACATCATGAGACTTTACTTTTACGTCACTATTATCACTATCGACACTATGACGATGAAATTGTTGTTGCTGTTGACGATGGTGAATTAATTGATCCTTTTGCATGTCACGCTCCCAGGATGAATGATCGTATCGTAAAATTGCCTCAACTGATCGTGCACGTTTTAAATTTAAATTTTTATCGATCGAACGACTCGAGCGAATGTGTTGATGTTGTGGCGCATCGGGAATTGGATAGGAATTGGTCATTGTTTTATGACTGTCTATACCATTACGATTGTTGTTTTTCAAGTTCTCATGATACACTTTATCGTTGCTAATGCAATTTTTATCATGTAATTTGATGTCTGTCACTTCGTCAAGTTGTTCAACATCATCGTCTTCATTCTCATCTTCATCGAGTAAATTATTTAGACTTGTCGAACGTCTCAAATCAAGTATAGACGGTCGTTGTTTGTTTGCAGACGTTTGCCGAAGTGTCAAACTTAAATATTTGCACTTTAATTTACTCACAAAACCGGGACCGTATTTAAAATCCTCATCGTTCTCAGCATGCACATTTGGTTCTATTTCAATTTCCTGTTTTGCAACCATTTTGTTATGCGCTCGATGATGACTCACCCAATTGTCCTCAATTTTATTATTATGCGCGGAACTAACTGCTGAATTGCTATTACTGTCTTTATCAAATGATTTTTTATTAAAACTCTGTAGCTGTTGATTACTTTTCAAGCGCGACGCATTATTACAGCTATTACTATTATTAACCACGACTTTTTCATGTGTACTGTTCTGCTGAACGTTTGCAACTAAAAGTTTTGATTTCGTCGGCGAGTTTGTTAATGTTGTTGTTGCACTAGCTTGTATTGTTGTTGTTGTTGCCGTTTCTAAACAAGCAGAGAAATACGAAACAGACGAAGAGAAGAAAAAAAAAATCAGAAAAACAGACAAAATATGTTTTTGCACTTTTTGGCTTTTTCACAGTCAATTTTTGACTTTTATCAATGAAAATAAATAATAAGCAACAATTATTATCAATTGATAACAATTTATTGCCTGTAGATTACCTGCTTCGCCTAGTTTTTGATCAAAAATCTGTTTTAAAGTTGAAACGCTCATCTTTAACGCGTTTTTCAACACAACTGAATAAAAATTGAGAAATTTGAATTTTAAACAACCGTTAAATGCAATGTTTAATATGAATAGTATTTCCTGTTTATACAATTTTGAGATTTTTATTCATAATTATTGAGGAAATGTTTATCGCTTAATTTAAAAATTGTTTTCAGGTAAATGAAAACTTAAATGTTTATTGTGATTATAATTTAATTTGTAAATGAATCATAAAAAATGTATGGAAATTTTTTGAACGCACTCTGAGTTGGAATAAGTATGGTAAATTAAAATTCACCATAGCGACAAGCTCTCGTGTTCTTTAAGTTATATTATTTTTGATGAAAGTTTGGAAGAATTAATTGATGCATGATGTTGAAAATGATTGAAAATCAGAACATAATTGAGTTACTTCAAGAATTTTTTGAACAATTCGTGTTCAACCAAGTTTCAGTGAACTCTGATGCAGAAGTGTGTAAAGCAGGGACGTAGCCAGGGATGTTACTATGCTTCTAATCTAAAAGAAGCTGACACGTCACTGATTCTTGAATTTTTGATTTAATTTTCTGCAACAAGCTTCCTGATAGGTTTTTCAGTTTCACGGTTCTTGAGACAAACTTGAACTACTTCATCAATCAGCAACTAGTTCAAATTTAATTTTCTGGCACAGACACAATAAGTAGGTTATATTAAACTTGGCATTAATTCCCTAAAATACAAATAATGGCTTGAAAATTAAGTTTGTATAGATTGAAATATAAACATAGTTTGATATTAAATAAAGCTTTATTAAGTATGCATTTTATTTGAAGAATCTATGAACCAAATTTATTTAAAAACATTTAATTTCATTTCTATAAGAAAATTCCAATAAGATTAATTTCAAAAATTATTTTTGATACAAAACATTAAACTTAAAAGTAGAGCTAGGTTCGCATAAGATTTCTTCCATAATCAAGCTTAAGCTCAGAAGCACGCAACCCCATCCACATTCTTCTTAGCCTCAGGTCCATCATGACTCTTAATAACATTAACTCCAATAGATTCAAATGTTTTCATGATGACTGATAAGTCATGGCATTCAAATTGATTATTGGAAATATTTATTTCTCTCAATTCTGGCATGATCAGTCTGATTCTCTCAAATCCATCAAGTTTTCGCAATTTATTTCTCGATAAGTCAAGAAGCCTTAATCGATCTAATCCAGTAAACATGTGCAAATCTACACTTTCGAGTAAATTATCAGATATATCCAATGTGATTAAATGCTTGTTATTGCCAAATATTTCAAATGGAATGATCTCAATGCTGCAGCCTTTAAGAAGCAAATACTTTAAGTCTTTCATATTTGAGAATGTGTCTTCATGCAAGACTCCAATGTAAGAATAAGACATGTTCAAAAATTGCAATTCCCCTAAAGTTTTCAGCGTTGGAAAGACATGACCAATGTTCTCATTCTCACTCAAGTCAAAATGGAAAATTTCTGAATTTTCACCGCTGATCACGAAGCTTCTGATGTTGTTCTGAGACGCAACAAGTCCTTTTAAGTCATTGTGAATGTGAAGCCACCTGAGATGATTTTTTGATGCCACAAGATACTCAACCGAGCAATTATCAAACGATACAACCGAGAGTCGATTACTTTCCAGGTGCAGCTCACCAATCTTCATGTCTGGGCATGTAAAGCACTCAATTAAATTATTTTTAAGAAGAAGTGCCTCGAATGTTAAATGCGACACGCTATGACTTTCACGAACTTCCTTAATTTCATTGTAATTTAAATTTAGTTCCACTGACAATTTTTTTGTGTGTGCTAATGGAATCAAGGTGCTATAATCCAGTTCTGATATTCTGTTGTATGACAAATCAACTTCATACAAGTCACTGCTGCATCCTCGGAATGTCTCTTCATTGATTGCTGTAATTTGATTCCTTGACAAGTCGAGTCGCTGTAATTTCTTTAAGTACGACAAAAGTCCATCCTCAAGATCCGTAATTTGATTTCTGTCCAAATGTAAAATTGTCAAATGTTCAGCATCTTTAAAGTCATCGCGTGATATTTGTCTCAAATTGACATCCGATGCCCGAAAGACCAATAAACTTTTAAACGATTGGAACAGCTGCGATGGTACAATTATTAAATTTGAATTTTTCACAACAATCGCACCGACTTCTTTTGGCTCTATTAAGCCATTCTTGCCATCAACATAAGAATGTGATGATATGTCGTGTACAATTTGAATGACACTGGACATTTGTATGACATTCGATAAATAGCAGACGTAATGAGGTCCGTGACGAAAAGCAATGCCAGAACGATGGAAACTAGTTGATTCCGTAACATAATCGTTGCACTTAAATGTTTGTCGTCGCTGCATCGATGGATGCACTAGGAATAACACAAATATTATCCACAACATGATGTTTCACCTTCGAATGAAAGCACTAAACTGAAAGCTTTTCTCAATTTCGTTTCCTTTTTATTGATTCTGGAGCATAAAGGAAAGGCACAATAATGAAGCGCGCGTGTGAATACATTAGCCATTTGAAAATAACATTAAGATAAAGAAGAAAGTATAAAGACATCAATTAGAAGAAAAAAGTGTGTGGTTTTGGTGGTTTCTGGAATTATTTTACGTTGTTCCAGGTGATTCGGGAAGGATGCAGTTGAATATGAATTATTAAATATGGCCGTTCATTTATGACATCCAGAGGGGGGGGGGGGGGGGGGTCAACAAGAAAAGAACAATAAAAATTACTGGAAATCCATTATTCGTTTTTGAAAAATGACCGTTAATTTCGGACGTTAAAAGTAAACGGCTGCAATGATTAACATAGATTAGATTACTTGCGATTATGCTGTAACCGAATAGTGTACCGTGGATGATAATTTTAGTTGAACTAATTCAAACTTCTTAAACGTACTAATTGGTTACATCTAGGCATTAAACTAGCTTTTGAACTCACCCGAATGACACAAGCCGAGTGATCGAACAAAAATCCAGCGACTAGCCGGGATGACTCTAGCATGGTGCAAGATTCTATTTAAATTCAGAACCTATCCAGATTTATGATCGATTAACTGACTTATGCCAATCCAATAAGCCATTCAAAAACCAAATCAGATTTTATTTCGATTTTGCAAAACTTCACCGGCATGAGCCAGAATACCTATCCCCTAATATACAAAAGCGTGTTTATACAAAATAACATTAAAATGAAAGCTTAATTGATGAATGAATTTTTTTTTCATTTCAAAAAATTTATTGACCTTTGAATTTATTTTGTTAACAAGAATCTTACGCTACAATGTTATGACAGTTAGAATTAATGACTGGAAGCAACAAACACAAAGCATGTGTGACACAAATTGTATGTATGTAGCGAAATGTTTAAGATTTTTGAGCATAAATTTACATAAACTCTACAAAAATAGATTTGATTGATGTTTTGGCTTTTATTAATTTACAGTTTAGTCTGTTGAGCTGTTGATCACTTGATTAATGTTTCCCAAGAAGGATTTTTAATTTCTTTCATTCTGTAAACTAGTTTATGACAGTATTTTGTAAACAGTAAATTTCCAATCAAATGAAAACAAGAAAAACCCAGGCTCGAAAACCAGGCGGTATATAGCCAGCTTCCATACAAATCAAGCGCGTGGTACTGACGAAATGATCAAAATGTAATTCTTAAGTTCCACATTCTTGATACAATTACCACTAAATACCGCCTAGTTTCTGAGCCTGGAGAAAAACATTCTACAAAGTTCTCAGTTAAAAACTTTTCTAGATTTGCATCTTCTCTCATGCTGCATGAATGGTGATAGTAAACCTTGAAAAAGTGCATGTTATCGCTTTGCCATTGAACTTCTCATTTCTTGATTGCATACAAATTATTTATGATTTTTTGAAAATTTTACAGCATGTTAAGAGATAAACAAGGCAGTCTCATTTTTAATACTGCTTAGAATGCTATGAAAGACAAATTCAACTGGACAACATAATGCCAAAGAGTAAGAGTAATCACTTTACATATCAGAGGCGTAGCAAGGAGGATCATGACCACCCCCCCCCCCCCCCCCCCCAAATGAAGCTCACAGTCTTCCTTAGGCTACAGGAAACATGTTCATCAAAGGAGTGCTTCGGATCCCACTATAAAATATTGGTCTAGGTTTGAGCGGAAGGTCTGGCGAACCCTCTCTCGGGATGATCTTAAGGTCTGAATGCTAAAGTCTATTTTATTTTTATTATTGATCAAATTAGTAGAAAGCTCATCTATTTTTAAACATAATTCAGAATACTCTGGTTTTTAACCAAAAGATCTAATTTAAGATCAGGCATTGAAATCTTTCATATCTTTGAATTGAATAAAAAAACGCAAAAATCAGCATGATTTTTAAATAATTAAATAATTCAGAACTGAAGTCATTTAACTTGAATAATTTATGCTAATTCATTTACTTTATTAGCACGTCTTATTAATTATAATGATTACTTAAATCATCTAGGAAACTCTTAAACAATTGAGTACCTGCTAATAGAATGATAAATGAATCAAAATTCGTCACCATATTTATGAAGGTTAAGGAATATTTATGTCAAAACATGAAGGACACAATGACTTTATTGTATAATCTAATGGAATATCCCTTTGAAAATAACAAAAAACATTCTCATTTCCTCTCAAGTTTACCTCTCAATTCTCAACAAGACTCTCCAAAAACTAATGAGATTTATGCTTACAATCACGAAATTTACATAAATTAGTCTTCATGTATTGACAATATTCTCATGTCAATACTATTTCCATTCTTTCTATGTGGTCAAGTCATGTTATATTTATATTGATGCCAATTCTCACAACCAGTTTTTTTTTTTTCTTTGATTATTTTTCAGAATTATTATTATAAAAAAAATTGTCTCTTCATTCGTTTAGAGTCAATTGTCTAGTGAAGAGCTTAAAAAAATATATTTTTTTAAAGATTTATTTATTTAAGAGTATTGCTCAATTGATAATAAGATGTTGCGTAAAATTTTTATATTAGCTTTAATATTTCATTTTGGTGAATTTACAAGCATTGGACGAGGTAATTTTGAATAATTACGCATTTTAAATAGTTTTTGTCACTTCATCTTTTACTTTCAATCAATAGCTGCGACTCATATATCAAATACTGGATCACAAATCTTACATTATGCGCAAATTATTCATTTTAACATTCCATTATCATCAATATCATCCAATGGACAATCACAAAATAATCAATTTCAACCTTCTGCAGATAGAAAAAAAGTGACTGAAAGATTTGGCAACAATGAGAATCAAGCTTCAGCATTCGATTCAAATAATTATTTTGTGAATAATCAACATAATGAGCAGCAGCAGTATCAACAACAGAATCAACAGCAGTTTCAGCAACAATCAAGACCACAACAACAGAATCAACAAAATACTGCCGTAAGCTCGCAGCAACAGAACCAACAACCTATTGCCGTAAGCCCGCAGCAGCAATATCAGCAACAACTAATCGCAAGACCACAACAACAAAATCAACAGCCTGTAAGACCATTACAGCCACAACAAAATTCATATCCAGATACGTACAATCAAGGAATTCAATTTAAGCAAGAAACAACTTTAAGAACTCCACAGAACTTTGATCGAACAAGTATGGTGTCGTCTGAGGAGTTCACTCAAAAACCAGGTAGCTATCAATCATGCAATAATAATATCTATCTCAGAATCAGAATTCAAACCAAACTAATCGGGAATAAAGATGGTTGCACTCAATGCTGCTGACCTAAATGTATCATGAGTCAGTGTAAAAACCGGTATCCTAGCTTTGTTGAAAACATGCAATGGATAGCTAATCTTCTTTCAACCTCAATTTATATAAACACAATGACTAAGGTTTTTTTGTTGAGAATAAGAGAATAAGAAAAATATGATAAGCTTGAACGTGTTTTAATGATAGTGATGCCGGTTTCCAGAGCTAACCTGTACTTTGGGGTGTAAATAAAGTTTATCTGTGTGTAGGGTATGTGGCAAGGGTAGCCCAAGAAACTGGTCCCTAGTTTTAAAAGTGTATTTCGTATGTGCCAAGGGTAGCTTCTAGTTTGAAAGTGTATAGTTTAAAAAATTATATCAATTTATAGAGGTTATGATACAATCTTGAGAGCGTTATGAGAGCGGTATGGTGTAGATATGGCTTGAAAACCATAATCTGAACATTGGACCCACTGTGAAATTGGTTGTATGTGTATGACAGATAGCCGAAGTGAGATAAGTACCTCGGTGTCCAAGTGCCCTGCTGCTTCTACTGATCGAGTGGACTCAGAAATCGCTACTTTTAAGGTCGTGGGTTCGATTCCTATCGAACTCGACATACAGCTGTTATAGCAAGATCTACATAAAGCCAAGAATTGTTAAGTTTGATTTTTCTAGTTTACCTCAGTAAAAAATTAAGTAATTTAAAACTAGAGAGGTCAGGACGATCCCTCTGCAAGCCCTTGATAAATGTCACAATGTTCGTGTCTAATTTGTGATCTCAAAATCATTAGACAATAATTGAGTAATCTCAATTAGTTAAATTTTACGTGAGAAAATCATTGTCATTAAATTTTAAGGTTCTTAAAATGTCAAATGATGGCATCATCTTGAAAAAGTCAAAACTTAATGAACATAAAAATCCCCAAAAAGTAGTTTCAACAACTCAATTTCCTCAATGACCTGTCAATAAAAAGTTGTAGAACTTTAAAATAAATTATTAAATCTTATCAGAAATAAACAAGATTCTCAATAAGTTTTGGGGAATTCCTATGAATTTAATACTAATACATATTATTTATATTCTAATACAGTACAAAGGCCAGGTTATGATAGTTATGGAGATGTAAATAATAATAATAATAAAAATAATCAAGATGAAACATCCCCAACTTACCCGAATGAGAATGCAGGAATTTCCAGAGATCAAGTACCATTGAATAAGCAAGATATGGTTATTGAGGATTACAACAGACCTGATGAGAATGCAATCGTCATTCCTAATATGCCTAGTAAAATAGTTGAAATCATCTTCCCGCCAACATTATCTTATAATGAGGATGCGAGCAGTAAGTATGGATTAATTGCTAATTTTAAACTAATTTGGTACGTGCTTAAGGCAGTGAATTCGATTGACTGACAATTACCACTTCTAGTGCTGTCTCCATCCTAGCACTTTGTAATACTATTCAGCATGTAGACTAATATTCATGATTCACACGATATTATGACATAAAATAAATACCGGAATGCAGTGTAATTGATAGAACAAGATTTGAACATTTACGTCAGTTCTGACCGGTTTTTCTTTTGTCGCATGTGGACATTAAAGCATTCTTGGTTTTTTTGGTAGTGATTAAATATTGATACAAATTATTTTGTTCTTTCGGTATTTTAATAGTAACTTATTTGATGGAATCAGACGCTTGGCAAGAATGTTTGTCATTTTGAAGCCGAATTAAGTGTATGTTTGGATGGGGGTTTCGGAACTTTTTAATCCTGGCGCCTCTCAACCCCCTTCTATTTGATAAAAGTTCTGGGGCTGGTATTTAGGTCCGCCCGGACACTCTAGGGCAAAAATGAAGTTCGATGTACTTTAGTATAGGATATTAGTATAATTAATACTGAGCTTAGGGTAAAGTATTAAAAACCTGCCCCTGATCATGAATAAGTCAGTTCTGATGATGAACAAGATAGAAACATAGCTAGTGAGCTAGTTTTAGAGGCCCTACGATCAACTAATTTATATCTTGAACTATATCCGAATCCAGTCTTAAATAATCATAAAACCAAGGCGTGGAAACTCAGAATTAATCCTGAATAATCCCAAAAATCCCTAAGAAAAATCCCTAAGCCAATAAACATGAAAATGTAAAATCCCTTTTAAATTCTTAATGAATTTGATGAATAATTTTCATGTTTATTGACTCAGAGATTTTCAACAACATACTCATCAAAAATCTTCCTGAAAAAAGTTTCGAATACTTGAAATTCATCATCAATTCGTGTCTGAAACTCAACCACTTCCCCAAAGTTTGGAAACATGCAAAAGTGATTCCTATTCCAAAACCTGGAAAACCAGCAAATGAGCTAAGCAGCTACAGGCCAATAAGTCTACTCAGCTCAATAAGCAAAATACTGGAGAGAGTATTACTGAATAGAATCAACGATCATCTTGAGGATAACAACATCATCCCAAACCAGCAGTGCGGCTTCCGGACTGGAAGATCAACATCTCACCAGCTCATCAAAGTGATCAAATCAGCAAAAGAAAACTTAAACAACAAAAAGTCAACAGGCATGATCTTCCTGGATGTAGAAAAAGCATTTGACAGAGTCTGGCATAACGGACTCTTGTACAAAATGCTCAAACTGAGATTTCCACTGCCACTTATAAAAACTGTAAGATCTTTCCTCAGTGAAAGATCTTTCACAGTTTTTATTAAAGGTCAGTTCTCAGAAATCAAGGTAATCAAATTCGGAGTGCCACAAGGAGCAGTGCTTTCACCAACTCTCTACAACATCTTCACGTATGATGTTGTAAGAGAGACAACCAACAACATCGGTCTTTTCGCAGATGATACAGCACTGTATCATTCTGCAGAGAACTCGGCCGATATTGTGACACATCTACAGCACACAGGAAGAAAAGTTCAACAATACATGAACAAATGGAAGATCAACCTCAACAAACAGAAGACTCAAGCCTTATTCATCACAAACAGGCACTCCAGGCAACTACCACGAAATAACATCAAATTTCTCAACGAAAACATCAAATGGGAAACAGAAGCTAAATATCTGGGAATGGTGATCGACAAGAGAGTGACATTAAAGCCGCATGTGGAGTATGTGACCAATAGGGCTCACACCGCATTAAGACAGCTTTATCCGCTCATCAGCAGGAACTCACAACTCGACGTACGAAACAAACTTCTCATCTACAAGCTAGCCATCAGACCAATATTCACATATGGTTGTCCAGCGTTTGGAAGCATGGCAAAAACCCATCTTCAAAAACTTCAAGTACTGCAAAACAAATTCTTGAGAATTGTTCTCAATAAAACAAGATATGAAAGGATCACCGATCTTCATACAGAAGCGAAAATACCGTCCATCGAAGACTACGTCGGAAAGTTGCAAGCGAACTTCAACAGTCGTCTTGCATCTCAAATCACCGAATAAATCAAATGAAATACAAAAGAAAGCAAAATCCGTAAATGAAATCAAAACTAAGAGACAAAAGGCAAATTGAATGCCTGAAACCTTAAAACAAAAAGCAACAAAATGTATAGAAACTTTGTACATACTTAAATTTAAATGTAAATAAATAAAAGTTTAATTAAAAAAAAAAAAAAAAAAGACTCAGAGATTTTTCAGGATTAATCCTGAGTTTCCACGCCTTGCATAAAACTTGAAAAACGTAGAACTTGTAGAATCAAGATTAACAATGTATTCTCTCAAACTTTCAGCAACAACAAGAGCATCAATTTTCGACTCAATGAGACGCAGAACAACGACAACAACAGAGAGTTATTATAGAACATAGAAATTGAGTAAACAAATCTTTGTAATTTTTATTTCAATAATCTACATTTTATTAAATTTTTTTAAGTGTAAGTTTCGTCATCATCAAATCAATTAACTAGAAATATTCATTTTTTCTGTTTTTTGTATTATTTGAATTTCAAAAAAAAATTGTAATATAGAGAGAAGCTTTAATCATCAGTTTTCATACTTTTTTATAGATTTTTTTTTATTCTCTTCCTTTTAAAAGTTGGATAAAATAATGTCATTACTTTGATAATTTGATGATAATGTAAACGATCCGAAAAGTGAAATTTTTCATAATTTCTTTAATTTTAAAAAAAATAAAAACGAAAACAATTTTTTTCACAATTTTTTACAAAATATGTATATATATATACTTATTATGGCAAGATCTAAAGGACAAGAGTTTTTTCATTTTTTTTTTCTTCATCTTTCCATTCTAATAGTAAACTTAAGATTAGATTCCTTTGCTTCTAATATCATAGCATTCATAGCAAAACATTTTTTCGTTTCTTACGTGCGCACCAAAAAAAAAATTTAAATCCACAAAAAAAAAACAATAAAGAATAATAATAAAAAGTGATAAATAAATATAAAAAAATTTTAAAAAAGTCAAAAAAGGTACTTGATTAAATTAATTATTAGATGCTTTTTTTCATTAAGCGTGCCGTTAGTATAAAAACTAAAGTTTCTATGTGATGTTAAGGTTTGTATGATCAGGAGGCTTGAAGGTGAGAATTCAATTTTTTTGGTTAAATTATTCAACAATTTTTACAAAGGTTTTAAAGACAAAAATTTTTTAAAACATTTTACAAAAGTTTAATTTCAAATTATTATCTAGATTTTAATTTTTAACATTTTTAAAAATTGAATTTTAAAATAATTCTGAAAATTAAATTTCAAAAATTCAAAAATTTTAATATTAAATCTTAAAAATGTTAAAATGTAAACTTTTGAATTCTAAAATTTAAAAATATGAATTTCAAAATTTATTAAAATGTAAACTTTTAAATTTTGAAAAGTTAAAATTCAAATTTTAAAACTTTGAATTTCAAATTTTCAACTAATTTCAAAAAATTAGAAATTTCAAAATGTTAAAATCTGTGTTTCATAATAATTTTAAAAAAATGAACTTTTGTAAAAAGTTTCAAAAAATTTCTTAATTTTTAAAAATAATTTTCAAATAAAATTAATTTTATATTTTTCATTCCCAAATAAGTTAAAATTTTGACCCCAATTTTTGGTATTTCTAGCTCAAAACTAAAAAAATGATTCACAAATCGCAACAAAAACATTAAAATAAACCTTAAAAATCCATCAAATCCCTACAAACCATCCTGACTATACATTCCAACATGTGATGTGTCGATCATATAGAACAAAAAATCCCTAAAAATATATTAATAGTCAATTTCTTAAAAAAATCAGTAAGAAATTAAATTAAATAATGTGAAGTAAATAAGTAATAATTTGATACAATTAAGAAATAAATTAAGAGGGAAACATACAACATGTGACTTTTTTTTTCATTATGTATCAAGCTTATGCTCAAAGGTTTTTTTTTTTCATTTAAATAGTAGAATGTTTAATGCGAGCTTTGCTCGATGCTTTGCAAAAAGAAACGGCCTTATCAACTAAACACATAAGAAAGCGACTTGGAACTTAAAAGTAATTTTTAACTCAAAAAAAATTATTAAACACAAATCATAATTAATTATAATTATAAAATTTAAGAATAGACAAAATAAAATACACGAAAGAGGTGATGATTAAGCAATCAAATGTGAAAAGTGAAAAATACTTTTTTTGATATAGAAAAGAAGATAAAAAAGTTATTTTTGCGGAGATTTTTTAACAATTTTTAAGGATTTCTGGAAAGCCTTTTATTGATTTTAATGAAATTGCTTAAAAACTGCTAAAAAAATCTAACTATAAAGCTAGTTTTGATGAGTTTATTTTCGAGTAAGTTGATTTACTTAAAGAACTATAATCAAAGACGGAGTTTTGAGCCTCTCAAGCTATCAGTAGGTATCTAGCCTAGTGGTAGTTTTCCAACATAGTAGAAGCTGCCCTCCATACTGACAGCTACCCAACCTAGAAATAGCTATTCAACCTAGTAGTAGCTACCTAACCTAGCTCTAACAGACAAAGATTATGTTTTCCGGTCCAGTAATATGATCAATGAGCTTACTACAGTACCGAAAAGCATGATCCTTGTTGATTACGGTTGAGTGGAACGACACATTATGGAGTATGCATTCCCCACGATACTCCATCTCTGACTATACTCCAACCACCAACCTCATCAAAACCAACTTCCATAAAAAATTGTAGTATTTGACCAGAGTACAACTCAAAAAGCGTATCTTCTTCATTCCTTAGATAAAAATTAAAAAGAATTTTTTTAAAGATTATTGGAAAAAAATAATTAAATCGAATAATATCAGTCTGACCAAATGTGTTGTTTTCGTTTTATGTATGTTATCTAATGCTTCATTTGCATGATGTACCTATGCATATTATTCTCAATTATTATAATAATATTATTATTTTTTATCATATCCATCAATATGCACATATCTTCTAAATGAATATCACTGCCATCACTTTAAAACAATTAATTCATATATTTTCTGCAGCGTTTTGCGCCACAGCCACATGGAATCTTATTTTCCTCAATATCGAACTTGTAATCATATGTTAGTTCTTCTCCGGTTACAATGCGTCGTAATGCGAATATTATTATGTGTTTTTGACCCAATATGTCAACGACTTTTGAGTAGCAGTTGGGCTGTAGAAAAAAAAGAAGATTTTTTAGCACATTTTGTAAAGTAAATAAAATCAAGTATTCTTACATCACATGAGTGATTAATGAATCTTGCTGCTGTTCCGCTCATTGTTGCATCAACAACCAAATTCTCGTCAATCTTAAACATATAGCAACCAATTCCTTTACTATCGTAATACCGTTCTCTCTTATCAGTCAATGTTGATCTTATTAGTTCTCCAGCATATTCAATAACCATTTCACCTATGGAATAGAATCAAACTTAATAGCTGAAATCAAACAAAGTTCAAATATTAACATACCAGCTTCAATGTCTCTTGTACAAAATAGACCACGTCCATGAATATGAGATCGATAAACGCCTACGTTCTTTTTGTATGTCTCTTTTAATGTTCGGTATTTCATAGCCATAGGAAGATTACTTCCAGTTCCGCGTCTAAATAAATAATTAATTGACAATATTAAAATGAGTCGCCATTAAACTTTTTATGGCTCTATTTACCTTAAGATGACCTCATCATTGTTGCTTTGTAAATGAACTGGCATTGGCGGGAGTCGATGTCTCGATGCAAGCCAACTAAACATGTCGTACTCAGATCTTGTACTGAAAGGCTCAAATCTCGCACAACCATAGATGTTTTCGTACAGAATTTCATCAGCATCGCTAATGTATTGACTTAATGACATTAGTGAGACAGACGAATTGGAAGACAGATTCGAAGCGTTTGATGAAAAGGAACTGGTACCATAGAATCCACTCATGCTAGAGCAATTACCGTTCATTGATGAGAATGATGATGTCTGGGGGAGGAATGAAAATGTTAGTTGATGTCTAAGAAGAGCTCTAGCTTTATGACATACCGATGATGTTGATGATGCTGATGAATTTCTACGATGATATTTTGGAGAGTATTTTGTGCATTTTTCGACACCTAGAAGTAGTTATAACATTAGTCGATAGCTTCTTACATTAATAAGGTTTCAATCTTACCTGGCAATTGCTCGAGTAAATACTTAAGTGCATTCGTCTTTAATCCTAACATTTGATCACCTGTCATTTCATTAAGTCTTCCTTCCGGCAATGGCATAAGACCATGAGCCTTTCTTGCTAATTGTACAGTCTCAAATAACTTCTCCCATATCTCGGATATGGAAGTGGATTTATATGTAAAACCATCTTGCGATTGAATCTCAAACAATAATTTTGGACCTGATGACTTGCTGCTGGTTGAACTTGTTGGCGTTTTCTCACGAGAAGCTTTTGTCGCATATGTTGAACAAGCTGATGATGTACTTGGACGGTCTGATGTGGTTTCTTCATCGTATGAAGGAAATGGAGTCTTCTCATGTATCTTCAATTCTTCTGAATCATCTTCAGTCGTAATAATTTCATCAGTTGATGACAAAGTGTCCTTTGTTGCTTTCAACTCGGGAAGTACTTCAAACATTGACTCGAGATTTACTTTTTCGACTTCTTCTTCAATCTCGTCTGGCAGACTCTTCTCCATAGGAACATCAATTTGCTCTATTGTATCTATTGTGTCTATTGGATCTATCGGTGTAATTGTTATTGATTGTGGAATAAGATCAATTGGAGATTGTGGAATTAGCTCAATTGGAGAAGTTGACAATTGTGGCTCATCATCCAACAAATTAGCACCCGTTGCCACAGAATCAATCGTTTTAGTTAAGGAACATACAGTAGAAGTTTTTGTAATCATACATTTCTGCTGATCAATAATAATACTTGATGCACTAGTGGAGGGAATTGGATATGATTCTATATTTGGACGTGGTGGTGTTGAGATCTTCATTTTCTTATCCATTTTATCCATATGCTGATCGCCAGGCGTTATTGTTATAACATTGTTGATTGTAGATCGTCTTAAAGCGTCAAACAGCTCATCTGCTTTGTTGCTGCTTTGCAATTCCATTGCAATTGATTTAATTTTCTCACAATAATTCTCATTTTCATTTTGTGATATGACATTGCTGTTAATGTTGTTGCTGCTACTTACAACATTATGATTATCAACAATTGAAGGCGATGAATTACGTATTGATGTCACATTATTGGCTCCAATATTTCCAGATGATAAATTTTTATTTTGATTATTTCCTTTAACAATATTGCCACTTTTGTTTGAATTTGTAATGCTCTTTAGTGATGTGACACTCGCAGGCATTGGTAGCACTCGATTTGTTGGACGATTTTGGAAATTAGGTTTAACAGAAGAGTTTTGATTTTTGCTGCTGAGATTATTGAATATGCTATTCTGGGCTTGTAAAGGAATAACAACGTTTGTAGGTATAGCTGATGTTTGTGCTGTTGATGTTGATGGATTTTCTAATTTTGTAGTTTTCAAATTAGTAGTAGTTATGATGTTATTCTGTACGGTTTTAAATGACTGTTCTATGGAGTTATCTGTCTCCATTACATTATGCGGTTCGGATTGAATGTGAGCTGATGAGTTTGTTAAAGCTGACTTTACAGTCACTGGCTGATAATTGTTGCTAATATTTTGTTGTATAGGTTTCGCTTGTACTTTTAATTTCGGCTTTATTAACGCTGCCGACGATGAGATTTTTACAATTTCTTCTTGAGGTGTCTTCGGACCAATCGTTCTGTATGTCGCTTTTTGTTTCTTAGCAATAGTTGCATTGTGATTTATAAGTTGTATACTCTGTTGAGATTGTTGTTGATGATGATGTTGCTGCTGCTGATGCTGTATTTTCGGCAGACTATCAGTATTTACTGTTTTCAGAACGGTAGTCGTTGTTGAATTTGTGGACGTAACATTCATTGATGATGTTGATGTTGTCGGTACAATTTTACTCACTATTTGTGGTTGAATTTTATTTACTTTTGCTTGTACTTTAGTCTTTTGATTTGAAGGTTTCAATATAATATTTTGAGATTTTTGATTTCCATATGAAGCACCAATTTCGAGAGATTGTTTCTTCTCGTCTATATTATTCCATGATGATTCCATAATTTGTGGCTGATGAATTGTACCATCAGATGCATTCAATAATACATATCCAGCTGGAATTTCCATTTGTATTGGCTCAATTTTACTCGCTTGAAAGACTTGTGTTGTGGTTGCACTGAAACTCGAATTCTGACAAATACCCTGCATTGCTGTCGAAACAAACTGTTGTGAACTCATTACAGTATTTTGTACAATGGTCTCCAAACCATAATATACAGGTTGTGATGTTAAATACATGCAGCCAGATGACGGATCCATTTCGATTGATGTTGGCGTTGATCCAAGCATCATTTGTTCGGCTGAAACAACACCATTAACACATTGTAAGCCTTGCGGTTGTTGAATTAATGTTCCCATAATTGGTGACTGTTGTACGACGGGAAGAACTGAAAGTCCATTTGGTGTTAAAACAAGATTACTCGTGTTATTTGAAGGCATCTGAAAAGAGTTTTGGAATATTTGTTGATTCCCATTATTTTGTTGAGAACTCGTAATGTAATTTTGTGATCCGTTCTTCATCTCCTTTCCATTTGATCCAATTTGTGATATATACTGAATAGGTGCATTATTTTGTGTATTATCAGCTGATATATATTGAACAAATTGTCCATTTTGATTCAATATCAACGGATATTGACTGATTTGCGGTGCCATTTGCTGCGTAGGCTGTTGAAATATAATATTTTGAGCTGACGGTTGTGCCATTGTGGTTTGCGATTGCGAAGCGTTGCTTCGAGACGATTGGAAATTTGCTATTTGGAGATTTTTCGAGTTCATAACTGAAATTTGTTGTTGTGACTTTCCATCAAGCTTTTTCTTATTCGCGACAGAATTAGCCTTCATAATTTGAGCATTTGTGACTTTATTTGGCTTTCCTTTTACCGGCGATGGAAGTAAAAGTGGCTTCTTTTGTGATTTGTGCTGATCTTGATCTGAATTATTTTGTGATGTAATTGTCATGATTTGCTGAGTATTTCCACCGTTTCCAGGTGTTAGCTGGATATACTGAGTGGGTTGCTGCTGCTGTGATGGATTAATGTATTGTATACCACCATTATTAATGACATTAGCTTGATTATTGAAATTTCTGATTGGCATAAGAGTCGCAGTCTGTCCAAACTGTCCTAGTTGTAATGGCTGCGTGTATATTTGTTGTCCTTGCTGATCAACTATCACATTCTGACAAAGATTACCGTCATTTGATAATGCCAACTGTAAATTTTGTAAGTTGGGTATTTGAACTCCATTAGTGATGATTCCATTTTGCGTGGTAAGAGGATTATTGATAACAATCGGTATAGATGTTGCCATTGATTGATTCTGTTGTTGATTTATCATTGAGATTACATTACCTCCTCCTAATCCAGCTATTGTTTGATGTTGTGATGTCGCATTTGCAATATAAACATGATTTCCATCTTGAGCCTCGGAATCACTTTCACTGGTGTTTTGAATAATTTCACATGTTGCCAAATGCCGTTCGTAAGATGTGCGATTTCTATAAGTACATCGACATTTTTCACATGCCACTGAACCATCGGATTGCATGAGAATCTCATCATTTAATCCATCAAGTTGAGGAATTTTGTCAATAAAATCCTTGCTATTTCTTAAGTCATTCTGTTGATTTATATACTTTTGTACAGACATCATTGAACTAGCTTTTTGTTCTTGACTTCTTATACCTGGATTATTATTACTATCATTACTGTCAGTTGCACTCAATTTACGCTTTTTTGGCTCTGGATCATCTCGTTTAACAAACGAATATTCATCAGAAAATTCTGACTGAATTGAGTTAAGTAGTCCATTTAAATCACTGTCAACGTCACCATCTCCATTGATGTGATTACTTTTACTGTTTTCATCATCCTCATCGGACACATGATTGAAAAACGGAGTTTTGACATCACTTGGATCTTTAGGAAAAATATCAAACATTGAGATTCCATCAAAAACATCATGAGGAAGGTCCTCAAAAATAGCTGCTTTAATTTCTGGCGGCAATAAATCATTCGTAGAGTTCTGTGGCTCTTCATCTTGCGTTTCCTCTTGTATCATTGTTTCTTGATCTTTCGAAATTGAATTATGGAACACTGCAATCTGCTTTAAATTCTTATGAATTGATTGTAGACTCTTCGTATGATCAACAGTAAAATTTATTCCTTTATCCATTATTAATGAATGATAATTTGATCGTTGTATTGAAACTTTGATTTTATATTCAACTATATTCCACGGTTGTTTTGATGACCAAAATAATCGTGTACATTCAAAGTCAACTGGAATCAAATAATCACCTGCATCACTTAATATCGGAATAATTCGTCCCAATTTCGTAACACATAAAGATCCAATAAGAAATTGAACTTTTGTCGCCTCAACGGTCTTCTTTTTTCTCCGATCCAATTCAACATATACCGAACGATTGACTTGAAAATTCTTTTCGGATTGTTTATCATCATCAGTCTTTGAAATATGTTGTGGACAAAAGACACTTTTATCTATCCTAAATTCACACACTGATTTTGCACATTGAAAATGATATTGTTCACCACAATTCTTAAAATTACATCCAACAGTTGCACCTTTTATTCCACATTTACTGCATTTTATCAACCGACCTCGTGAAATTGCACTATGGACATTCTGTAGTGAGCCATCAATTTCTTCGTACACTTCAGCCGACCACAGAGCACAATTTGTATGAATCCATGTATTATGGCCACAATATAACAGTCTTCCTTCCTCATCTGATGAGCATTCACCTTCCTTTTTGCAAAGCATACACGAACGACCATCCTTTTCATTGAAAAATATTGATTGCATTATTTCCACTTCATTTTTAATTAAGTTCTCGGGTACATTGAAGTTTGTCATGATGAAATAATCACTATTCTCAGTTTCAAGCATTAAATCATCCAGCAAATCGCTTTTTGAATGATCATTCATTGTCTCTTCAAGTGCATCCGTGCATGCTTTTGTTTCATTCTGATACCACGGAAAGATTTCACTGATTATCTCATTATATGCAATCACTAAATCATCAGATTGAGCATCATTGAGAATTTTGTTCATGTCATAATTAAAAGCTTGTAGTGAATGATACTTATTATCGTGAATGTTATGTTTAGTCAAATTGATACTGGGTTTTAATGGATCACTATGCATATTATTGTTGTCATTATTGCCAAAGCAATTGCACTGTACATGATTATCGATTGGCGTTTCGACACAATCGTCGGTTTTTAAAGCATCAAAGAGTAAATTAAAATTTGTAGGTTCAATGCTGTTACAGTGCCGGCGAAAATTCATCTTCGATGCACCACAGAAGCAGTTTGGATTCTTCTTACGAGGACTCATCCTTAGCAATGCACATGCATGCCGACTTTTACTTAACAGCTTTATAACACTCAATAAACTCGTTTTAAATTCAGCCTCAACAGATTCTCTCCATATGTTCGACGATGCATTATTTGGGGAACACTTCTTACAAATGAACTCAATGTGCTCGGGCAGAACACTTAGTAAGTTATACTGCTCATCAGTTATTCCCTCGCATTTTGCATGAACCCATCGCTTACAATCACCACATTCCATCATTTTAACATCGTAATCATTATTCTCATAACACTTCTGACACAACGGACAATAATTTCCTTTTCGTCGTAGCCTAAAACAATTGCTACACATTGCGAGATTACCAATGAATTTTGTAACATTCGTTGTACCACATGATTTGCATTTTAGACATGTTGCACATATTAAGGGTCGATCTGCACACAAGAGGCGCTTACTCGTACCCAAACATGTTGTATGGAAATTCTTTTCGCACTTCCAGCATTTTACTTTTACACCTGTTGACATATTACATGTATAACAAACTGTACATCTTGGACACAGCCAGTTTAACTTCTTATTTAATGGCATGTCATAGCCATTATGATCCACTAAAACGCTCGTATCTAATGACATGTTAAGGTTGTCGTTTGTGTCATTAACAAGCATTGATGATGTGTTCAAAAAGTCATTTGTCTTAAATCTCACATTGAATTCGTCTTCAACGCAATAAAAGTGATAAGGTTCACAGCAACAGACACAAAATATTAGTGGATCTTTTCCATAGCTTCCGCACAAAAAGCAAACGGATTTAATTGGAGTCTTTTCACTGAGTATTAAACCAAAACCAGTACGGCTAACTTCAGCAGGATCATAATTTTCCCAGAAATCAATTGATATCATTGGCTGCGTATTAGTAGTCTTCATGTTATGATGATTAAAAAGGAGTCGCTTAGATGATGGTATTGATTTTGATGACATTCGATTAAAATTCTGCGTTTGTGATAATGTGAGATTCGGTCGTGTAAGTTTTCTAGTGATTGGCTTACAGATATCCAAAATTTCATTCTTTTTGATTGATTGATTATCATCGAGAGATGCTTCAGATCTTACGTTAATCTTTTCAATTTCATTCTTTGTATCGACTTTACTGTCTATACTGCTAATCTCAATATCTTCTTTTGTATTACTCTTTACTTCATTTAGAGCTTCAGCTACAAATGCAAGGTTCTCCTTCTCTGAATTATCATCCAGCATTGGATCTTCGAGAAGTGCTTGTTCTTCTATGGTTTCTAAACCATCTTGAGATTCTGGGCCACCTGGGAATACAGCAATCGGAAGTCCAAGGACAAGTGATGCAGATCTGCATACATGCTTCACTCTTGGACCTTTTAAGAGCAACCTCTTTTGCCTTAAACTATCAGATACTGAAACATTCGCGGGATTAAGAACTTGATTCTGTAATATTGATGCTGATGTTGATGGTGAATGTATTTCTTCTTGTACTGGAGTTGTACTTGCTGTTTCTGTTGATTTCTGAGATATTTTCGGAGATCCTTTCGGTGATCGTGGTGATTTCTTTGTCTCACTGTTAGACGACAATACAGCAGCTACCGGTGTCGTCTCTTTCGGTATATCAACCAACAAAGGCTTATCACTAGCAAATGCATTTTTCAGGACATTATCAACATTTGATTTAATGTCTGGCTTACTACCAAACGTAAAATTATTAATAGCCAATGGATTTGATGATAATTTAAATGATGAGAATGATTTGATTGAATTTAAGAATATATTTGAGTTATCGTTATTTGATAAGACCACTGGTTTTAAAGGCTCCATGATATTCTTGGGTAAAACATTTGTCAAGCGTGCTTTTAATGGCGATGGCAATTGAAAGGAGCTTAAGCATTTCTTGAGCCAACATGCATAACATCGTCCCTTACTTAATGCTTTCAAATTTGATTCAACTTTCGATGCTTTCAATGTTTTTGTTGGAACTGGTTCAATAGTACAACAGCCTAAAATGTCACATAAATAATAAATTCATCCTGTCTCATTGGAATGTAAATTTTGAATACTCACCATCTCCTTTATCACACTGCCAATTTTGTACGGTATGTTTATTGACACGCTCAATCATTTTTGACATAAATTTCTTACAAAGTTCACAGCATATAGCTCCATACTTTCTGGGCTGCTTGCGAGTTGTTATCGAGTTACATACGACACATACAAGAGACTTTGTAAAAATTGCCGATGATAGATTTGAAGAGGAATTGGGTGAGTTGAGTTTGAGTGAAAATGGACTTTTGATTAGGTTTGAGTCACTCTCTTGTGATCCAAATATACTAAAGTTTGTAGAGAGCTGCAATACAGGCTTTCTAAGAATTGATGCTGAAAGATTATTCGAAAGTTTGCTATCTGACGATAGCACAGACAACGCCGGTACTGTTGTCGTTGATGTTAATGTTGATGGAGAGAGTTTCGGTGGTTCTTTTGGTTTCGTTGATTTTAGTTCTAATTCATCAACGAAATTAAAGCCTAGAATAGAAATGATTTGCATAAAAACTTAAATTTATTGATGAAATTAAGTTTCCTTACCGAAATTCTTTTTATCCTTGAGAAGTGACGATGATGTAACTGGATCTCCTCCCTCACCCCATGGACTTGGTTTAATGACCTTCTTCTTACTCAACGATGCATCCTCACCCGTGTCAAAAAGGAACCTTTTATTCGGTTTAATAACCCGTGATGAATTCACACTCAATTTGGGCAGATTAAATTTACTAGCCACAATAACATTCGACGCAACATTCTGTGGACTCGTTGACAACTGATGATTTCCATGATGATCCCGCCCAAACTTGAGTGAATTCAATTTATCAATATTATTATCACTTTTCTTAACAATCTCCGTTAGCTTTGATGGTCGCACTATACAATTTGTTTTATACACTAGAATGGGATATTTAAGGGACTCTTTCTTAATTATAGAAACTATAGGTCCGTTAAAATTCGGATTATAAACGCGTTTTACTTTGCACTGATCACTTGTTTCTATCGTTTGTCGAAAGGTCACATGCTTTTTTGAATTTTTCGTCTTTTTATCTAATTTATCACAATTTAAATCGTTTTTAATTTTTTCCGTATTTTCCATATCTTTTGTTGATGTTAAATCTTGATTTTCTGTCTGTTCAGTTGTCATAACTGGTTTTGATTTTTCTTCACTCTCCTCCGTTGACTGTTTTGTTGTTGTTGCACTTTCCGTCTTTTGTTATGCAAAAAAAAAAGAAGTAAGAAGAAGTGAAATATATAAAAAAAAATTATCAAGGAGAAAAGAAGAAAAAAAAATTGATTGGCATAGTGCATATATGTAAATATTCGAAAGGGAGAAGGAAAAAAAATTGCGTAGCAATAAATTCTCTTCGGACGCTAAATTCTTTTTTAAAATTCACATTTATTTGTGACAATCTTTCGATTATTTTCATATTAATGCATTTATGACAACATTATGGACGCTAACAATTGTCATTAATTTTGTATAATTGCGAGATAATGCGAGAAAATTCATAAAAATTCGCAATTCTGCAAAAAAGCGCCCTCTATTTTTACCTACCTGGTAGCCATGTTCATGTTTTGGTGAAGCCAAATTTTTTTCACTATCAATTTCACAATGATCATTAACTCTTTTGTCACAATTATTATCATATGATAAAACACTAACACGCTTCTTATTCACTAGTTTGGATGGCTTTCCTGGAAATTTCGTTTTATTGAACATAATTAAATTTTTTACATTTTTAACTTTTCACAATTTCTTGCTGTACACACTCATAAATTTTTTTTCCTTCCTTCTCTCATTCTGACATATCCATTTTCATCATACATATCCAACACGGTTCTTTGTAAACATTGTGGTAAACAAAAAGCATTTTTTGCGATTTTTAGATGATTTAAGGGAGGATTCTTGATTTTTAAGATTTAAAAATTGAGAAAAAATCAGCAATAAATGATTTAATATTTAAAATTAATTAAATGTTGTTTAAAAATTGTGAAATTTTGAAATTTAAATTCTTGTAAACATTCATCATTGACATGAATCATTCAAATCCAGTACATCATTACACTAAGGGCAAAAAATATAGAAACATAGAATTTTACACCTACGAACAATTTATAATGCACTGGAATTATTTCCATGAGTTTTTTTTTCAACAACAAAAAGACTTTAGGCGGGAATTTAAAAAAAATTATTAAAAAATCTATTCGGCAATTTTCAAAAATTATTGAAATTTTAATAAGTTTTTAAAAAAGTCGAATAAACCTTAAAATTTACCGAAAAAATATTCCAAAAATCAAAACATTGCAAAAACAGTGTAGATTTTTTTTTATAATAATCTAGCATAAAATTTTCAACAGTGTAAAGTATTTTTTCTTCAATTTGAGGTGGTACAAAATCATAGCTGTCATAATTTGTGCAATTTAAAGTGGTTCAGAGATGTGTTATATGATTAAAAATTAAATAAAAATAAAATATAATAATTGTAAAATGCCATTAGCTAGAAAGGATTTAAATATATGGCCCTCAAAACACGAAGTCGCGGTAAGAAATTTTTTTTATAATTTTTTTTTCCTCTCTTCTCCATCCTCCAAATAAAAATTTAACTTGTTGTTCTTAAGTTTAAAATTCACTTCTGATGATGACATTTATGATGATGAAAAATGCAAAAAAAATTATAACTTTTAATTCAATTAAAATCCAATTAAGTGTTTTTTTTAAAGATTTTACATAAGCATAAAATTATGAAAATTACATCCGATTAGACATTCTTCCACCCAATAATAATTCATTACATAAAAAAAGCAATTTTTTTTCGATGTCCTCCCTTTACATTAATTACCGAGCTAAAGCAACAACAATTAGTCATTATTATGTTAATGCTTTTGAGTAAAAAAAAATAATCAATACAAAAAAATTAATTCACTTTGCCTATGTCTTTTCTCTCATTTTTGCAAGCATTTGCAATCAGTGATTCTGATGACTATTCATTTGTAAGAAGATTAATAACATATTTATTTATTTTTATATTCTTTTATATTTATTCAAAAATCAAGTTTCTTTTCTGAAGTAACAATTTAATCCTTTACTTCTCTCTTTTTCTCTACTCTGTCTCTGTCTTGAATCCAAACTCTCATAGATAAATAATAAACCTTTAGAAAATCTTCACTAATTTGATTTTTATTATTGACATAATTTTTTTTTCTGTTCTTCTCTCAAAATAATGAAAAATCGACTTTCAAAATAGAATTAAAAATAAATTGAGTCCTTGCAGCTCTCTTTCTACCTTCCTCTTATTCATTTTTGGCATGTGTATTTTATAAAAAAAAAAAATTAAATTTCTATCTCATAATCATCAATTAATGTCTATCATGTTCTTTTTGCTGTGGATAATTTTTTATATAAGCATACGTGAGTTTATTGAAGATTCTTTTTAAATTATAACGCATTTTCCACTGAATTATTCACTTTGATCTGAAATCCGGGTTTGCTAATCGGAATGAGAATAGCTTGGATACCATCAGATTCTGACACATTGTTTGTGTTAGCAGTTTTCGTGTTTATCGAAAATAATCGGCGGAATCTTTTTGCATACTGAATTGAAATTAAGTGAGTATTGAAATAAATACATCAATATTATTGATTTTGAATCTTTGTGAAGCTTTACAAAGATGAGGAAAATGTCCTGCAAGATTTGCAAGAGAATAAGGCATAATTTTGATTCTTTGCTTCTTAAATTGATTTTTAATTCGTTAATTGTGATTTTCAATCCATTAATAGTTGGAAATCAAGAGTGAATGTTGTTTGGTGCTCTTTTGGATGCAATTTAACGAGCAAATGTTTCAAAAGTGCTGTTAAGAACAGATTAATAGTTTAACGTGACATTCTGTCAAGATTTAAAGTAATCCCTGATAGCTTACTAGAATATTTGAATCATGGAAAGATTGTAAAAGCGTGGGTTCAAATCTTGCTCAGGACTAAAAGCTTCTGCAGTTTATAATCTTCAAATAATCTCGATAAATAAAGATTATAATCTGTGGAAACCTTGCACAAGACAAATCAATGAAAAGTTTAATTTTTCTTTTAAAAATTTAAACTTAGATTATTCAAGTATCAATATTAAGTTCAAATATGCATTCTTAAATTGGGTTTTACGCTCTTTAATGTGGCATTTTGTGCCTGCAGCTATAAGATGTATAAGATATGTTCTAGTTACTAAACCTCAAACTCTTTACTGGGCATGTTCATGTTTAAAACTAGGAAAACTTCAAAGAAAGGTCTAGACCTCCTCAATAGAATATCGAAATTATTAGATTAAAGCTCTGAATAGTATCTTTGACAGTATCAACTAAATTAACCAAATAGTGTTCAACACTTTATCTAAAAGAGCTAGTAATAGTTTATTTTTCAGCAAGAATCTATTAAAAATAAAATTTCGTTTAAACAATTTACATCCATATTTACCAGGATTGCGTCAATTCATTCTTCTGGTTAATCCTTAAAATCCCGCCCATTTCAAGCAGATTTACACTTCCTGTTCTCATCTGAATCTAAAAATAAACATATTCCTCTCTCTTAAATCCCACCCCGGATATGCAAAACTGCTTAAATCCTGACTTTTTTAAATGTCATGTTTAAATCTCATTCAATTAAATTTATAGCTTAACTGCTATGCCAACAAAAATCACACATATTTTAATTTCATCTTCGTGATTCATTCATAATTTCACTAAAATTCTTTCATGTTTTAAAGCTGTGAATGTTAAGTACGAGCGAATAATGTTTACACATCTGAAAATTGTCCAAATATTTGCATATTCAAATAAGGATTTTTATCGCACAGGTTGGTTGATACTAAGTATAAGCTTTTTATTTGCTGACTTGGTATTCTTAGATAATACATATGTGATATAATTCAGTATTAAGTGTTCACGGCATGATTCACATAATGAATCTTCTTTGTCCGAAATTGAGAGTTATTCTAAAGGTGAAAAATTAATTATTTTAATTTATTTTGAAGTTAAGTTTTAAGTGATTCAACTTCCTTGTTGTTTTATACAAATCATTTGAAAATATTTTCATTGAATTATTCTAAAAAGTTCATTAAGAAGCTTTGTAATCCTTAAGTCTTATCAAAAACGATTAAGTTTTTCTTTGAATAAATTATATCTGAATAATCCTTGATTGCCTCAACGATATTCTTATGATTACCAAGAAATAAAGTGAACACGAAACTCTTCAATTAGCTTCTATTCCCGCCTTTAGGGCTTAAAACTTTAGTTGACTTGATTAGAAATTCTTGTGGAGCAGCCACTTGTTGCTAAACCTTCTTTCTGTGAGGGTTGCGCTTTGTCACTTTGGAAATATTTAATTAAATGATTGGGAAATTATTTTTTGGCGGGAATCTTTGTGGAGGATCTTAAGTAAAGCCCACATTAACGGTATCAATTAAGATATTGTTCAAAATTAATTGGTGGTTAAAGGAGGCTGTCAATCTTCTGAATGTCACTGCTGGGACAGAAACACAAGTTTGTTACAACTCCCTTGGTTGAAATCCGCAAGGAAAAAGACGACCAGGAGTTCCAAAAGCTACTTGTCTACAGTACAGTAATGAAAGCATGTCAGCTTAATGGGCGGACAGAAAAGTTGTACAAATTGGGTGACAGATCCAGCAACAGAGTCAGATGGAAAGCCTTTTGCTGTAACCTAAGCTCCACATGGGAACATGGTTACAGTATGTAAGTAAGTAAGTCAATCTTTTAAGAAACCTTTGTTGGCTTAGTTACAAAAACATACTGAAGTATACGACAGGAATCATAAGTGTGTTAGGTTCGAGTCTCAGTTTTGTCTAGTCCAGTGTTGTCCAAACTTTTTGAGCCACGACACACCTTGATAGTTTTTTCAATGAATTCTACGGAACACTAGTGTGCCGTGGAACACAGTTCGGGCAATACTGGTCTAGCCATTTAAGTCAGAGCCAATATTTTATAAAAATTCAACCAAAAATGTTCTAAAAATGACTTTTAAGGAAAAATTAAAATTAAAATGTTCTCAGCACACCCAAAAATCTGAATAGCTCACCAAAGAACCGCGTCACACAGTTCGCAAAACACTGATCCACATTAAACAAACAAATTACTCAATTCAGTATCCGAAAAGCGCAGAAAAAAGTTTACCAATTAAATTGATTGAACTGTTGATCAATTTTACAAATAGACAAACTTTAGATACAACACCCATTTCAGTGGAAAATTGCGTCAAAAAGATTTATTGTCGACCTCCTAATCATGCACCAACCCCCATCACTCCTCCTATGACGTCAATATTTAACTTTATTCCGCTCGTTGTATCTTTGAATGAACATCAGAAGAGTTTTTAAATGTAATTGAATTCTGTTAAATAATTAGCATGTAGACTTTAAATGATTTTACTTCCAGATCCGTGTTTTTTAATCTTTCTCTTCTCTCTTTCCACACAAAATGTGTTTTTTTTTCTCTCTTTGTTTCTGTTTCTATTTTATCTCTCTCTCTTTGTCTTCCGATGATTTTTTTTATCAATATATAAATTTTTAACTGTATATTAATGAAAATACAAATGAAGTTATTGTAAAACAGATGATAACGATGCTTTTTTACTATATCAATGTCAATCGTCAAACATTTTACTTTTAGAGTTCATCTCAACAATTACAAGAATTAGAGATGGTCGTTGACGATGGATCAGTCATTAAATATCCACAAAATACTATCAATATTAATAATAACAATAATAATACAATGGACAAATTACAAATTTCTGGACACGACGATGACTCCGATGACGTTGAGATGAAATCTGATGATATCATTTTTGAGCTAAAGGATCTCGTTAAGGATGGTCATGAGAAGGCGACACCGTCGCAATTTGAATTGCTTAAAGTGTTGGGCGAGGGTAGCTTTGGTAAAGTGTTTTTGGTTCGAAAGGTTATTGGTCCTGATTCCGGAACGTTATACGCTATGAAAGTATTAAAAAAGGCAACTTTAAAGGTCAAGGATAGGATGAGATCAACAAATGAGAGGAATATATTAGCTGATATTGCCGTTGGTCATTCCTTTATTGTTAAGCTCCATTATGCCTTTCAAACACCTGGTAAACTTTATCTTATACTTGACTTCCTTCGTGGTGGTGATTTATTCACGAGATTGAGCAAGGAAGTCATGTTTACTGAAGAGGATGTTAAATTTTATTTAGCAGAGCTTGCACTTGCTATGAATCATCTTCATTCACTTGGAATAATTTATAGAGACCTGAAACCCGAGAATGTAAGTTTGATATTTATTTTATAGGTTATCAAGGGGGGAACAACATGATGGGAAGATTATTTTAATGTGAAATTTGCACAGTTACCTGCAAAAATTAAGATAAGCTTCGTGGTAAGAAACAGTTTAAAAAATCGCTTCAAAACAATTTTCCATCAAGCTGTTATCCCCTTTTTGTTCATCCAATTGATTAAACAATAATTTTATCAAACTATTGCAGATTCTACTCGATGCTGATGGACATATTGCATTGACTGACTTTGGCTTATCTAAAATTCCTCTCGGTGATTCAAAGACATATAGTTTTTGTGGCACTGTTGAGTATGTTGATTAATCTTATCTTGTTTGTTTGAATTTTTATTTAAAATTTTTTAATCTCTGACCTTCAGATACATGGCACCTGAAGTTGTAAATAGAAAAGGACATACTTTTGCTGCTGATTGGTGGAGTTTTGGTGTTTTAATGGTAAGTAAAGCAACTCTCTGACTGTCTAGCAAACCCAACTAATGTCCTTCCCTTCTTAGTATGAAATGCTTACTGGCAACTTACCCTTCCATGGTACAAATCGTCAGGATACAATGAATCAAATTTTAAAAACTAAATTAGGAATGCCAGAAAATTTATCGCCTGAAGCCCAGTCACTTTTAAGGGCATTATTTAAGAGAAATCCTCAAAATCGACTAGGTGCTGGACCGAATGGCATTGAAGACATTAAGCGTCATGAATTTTTTGCAACCATTGATTGGGACGCATTATTAGCTAAGAAAGTTCGCGCACCCTTCATTCCATCAGTCGCTAGAGCTGACGATACCTTCTACTTTGACTCTGATTATACTAGTCGCGATCCTCGTGATTCACCCAGTGTTCCCGTATCAGCGAGTGCTCACGAAATATTCCGTGGCTTCTCATTCGTTGCTCCTTGTCTGCTGGATGATGAAACAGGACAAGCTATTGCATTAAATAATAATGAGCGACAATCGTCATTCCAATCTTATGAAATTCCAAATGTACAACCACATTCCATTACCGATGAGTATCAGCTTAAGGAAGTGCTTGGCAGAGGAACGTTTTCGGTGTGTAGACTTTGTGAACATAAGACGACAAAGAAACAATATGCTGTTAAAATAATTGATAAATCACGACACGATTGTCGAGAAGAGGTAGTGTATGATAATCAAATTATTTCATTCGCTGCCCTTGAGACTTTCTTTTCTTACTTGCTTTATAGGTTGATATACTGCTCAGATATGGCACTCACCCAAATATTGTTACATTATATCGAGTCTTTGAGGATCCTTCTTCACGTTCTGTGTACTTAGTTATGGAATATTTAAAAGGTATTTACACTTGTACTTGATAATCATTATTGTTGCAGTGTATAACAACATTTGCTTGACATTTGTAGGCGGCGAATTGCTTGATCGAATTTTAACTATACAATTTAGTGAACAAGAATCAGCGGCAGTTCTTAAAAGCACTGTATCAGCACTTTCTTACTTGCACGATCATGGTGTGGTTCACAGGTAATTTACAAAATTACTTTTCTGTTTTTTTTTTTATTTTTACCTCAATTTCATAAAATATTAAATTTCACAGAGATTTAAAGCCATCAAATCTTTTATATGCTTCCATCAATCACACGCCCGAGTCTTTAAAACTTTGTGATTTAGGCTTCGCAAAGCAATTGCGCGCTGATAATGGACTTTTAATGACCCCATGTTATACGGCAAATTTTGTTGCTCCTGAAGTATTAAAGCGGCAAGGATATGATCAACTTTGTGATATATGGTCATTGGGTGTGTTACTTTACATTACACTGAGTGGTCGGACACCGTTTGCCAGCACCCCTAATGATGAACCTGAGACGATTTTAAAGAGAATCGGAAGTGGACAAATCGATTTGGAGAATGGCGTAAGGATTTATTTTGGAAATTGGATTTGGGTCATCAATAAGTGATGTCTATCATTTGTGAATGACCCCAAGCAAAAAACCATCTAGACTAATTATTCTTAATTTTTTTAGCGTTGGATGTCAATATCAATGGATGCAAAAGAACTAATTAGACACATGATGCACATTGTACCATCGAAGCGTCCAACGGCAGCTCAGATCCTTCGACATCCGTGGACTGTAAGACAAGCTTTAGCATTTGATGAAGCTAGAATGCATCATCAAGTCATAGTCCATCAAGCGCATCATGTGTCAATGCTTAAACCGACTTCAAAAGACATCACTGAAATTAAAGGAGCTGTAAATGCAACATTTCGGGCTATTAATTCACCTCAAGCTTTGGGAATAGGAGTTGGACCGGTTCAACTCAGCGAATTAGCTCGCCGACGAAGACGAGGTGCTGAGAAAGGACATAACTGAGATTCAATGAATATTTTTGTAATGGATTTCTAGTTAGGTAGGCATCGTATGATGAACCATTGATAAAAATTTAAACAAAAAAAAATGAAACTTTTCTACCTTAATCGAATGATGAATGAAACTATATTGACAAAAAAAAAGAAATAGACAAGATTAAAATGCAATTTTATTCTCCGGTAATTGGAATTGAATTATGAGGAAATATCGAATATATTTCACTTTCTCTATTTGAAAAAAAAATATTTTATCTTAAATAGTATTTTATCTACACATTATTGATATTTGTCTTATTGAAAAAAAGAGAGTAAACTTTATACCTTTATGAGAAGGTCATATGTATTTTTATCAATAATTTACTATTGTAATATTAATTGTAATTAAATTTAGTGCCATTATATGATAAATATTATTGAAAAACAATCCAATGCTATCGCAATGGAAATTTTATGAAGTGGATATGGATGAGAAATGATAAAAGAAATCAATTTTGTAGACAAAATCTTAATTTTAAAAAATCTGTCAATGCCAATCTTTTATTTTAAATCTTCTCTCTCTCTACCTTTTTACACCTTTTGTCTACACAAAGAATATATAAATTTTAGTGACAAAAAAAAGCTATGCCAAAAATTTTAAATTTTTTTTCACAAAAATTTTATAAAAATTTATTAAATTCTGGGGTTAGATGCGTTTTTAAAAAAATTTGAATTTTATTACAAAAGTTAAAAAATTATATTTTGAAAAACTTGAAATTCAAAAGTTTAAATTTCATTTTAAAAGTTAAAATTATATTTTAAAAAAAATAAAATTCAAAAGCTTAAATTTCATTCAAAAAGTTAAAATTATATTTTAAAAACTTAAATTTCAAAAGTTTGAATTTCCAATGAATTTAAAAACTGTACATTTTAAGAATTACAAAATTTGAATTTTTTAAGAGTTTAAATATGTTTAAATTAAATCAAAATGAGACATTTTTTAAACTTAAAATTCATCAATTGTTTGAAATTTAAGATTTAAACATTTTGAAAATTGAAAAGATTTTTAAAACAATTTAAATTTAAATTTTTAAAAGTTTCAAAAATTCAAAAATATTTCAAAAACACTAATTTGAAATTTTAATATTTAAATGTAAATTTAAATTTTTTTTAAAAAGCATAACACCCAAGATTAAATCAAATTATTGATATTCACAACGCAGCATTCAATTACTACTAAGCTTACCCAAGCATAATTATGTTGACCATTCTTTATATGGTTTTTTACTATTCACTCAAGTGTCACACACATTTTTTTTTTGTCATTATATTTACTATGCGTCAGCAAGTGTGGCTGATATGTAAGTATTTATATCATATCATGTCAAACCAGCTGTTTAATAATGAAAAAAAAGTGTGGCATTTTTTAATGAGGTTTAATTTTAGGCAATACCGTCCAAATGTGTGCTTTTCGAATATTTAAATTTATTTTTAAAAAAAACTTTATAAAACCAGATGCAAGGAACCAGACAACGGAATGAACAAATGTTTGTTTTTTTTATATAGAAACATAATTATTCAATTTATTTTAATTTTGTTTAACTTAAATTTCAAATGTTGCGGTGTGAATATGAATAATGAAATCATGACATTTTATATGGATGGTTGAAATCTTCTATTGATTGAAATTTTAGGCAGGAAAGTTAAAACATTGGGGTACAATTAGCAATATTTATATTAGCCCCTAATTTATAAACAACCCCCTTCCTTTAGTATATAGGGATACCCCCTCTCCTTGCTATTCAAATTATATGGATTATACCTTGTTACCATTAGGAACGGAGAAAATGCGTCTCATGATAATGATTATAGTTGATTAAAAAAATGAAAAAGAGACGTAATTTGATTTAACATAAGTATCCTGTGTATCCAAAAGAACTCTAGACTCATATAATTTTTAAAGGGATTTTCAAAATCTCAAGTTTTAAGTGTTATTAATGTAAGCATTCCATTTTATTGCACGAAGAGTTGAATTATGCAAAGTAATTAATTTTTCTTTAACTTGACATCGTTCAGGTAAGACAGTGAGTTGCTGTCTAGACTAATCTAGAATTTGCGATGACACGGTGACAAAGGAGAGGATCTTGGAGCGAAATCTGAGCAGAACTGTTCCAAATCATTCACTAAAATCAGTAAATTTCAAACTAAGTTTCGCGACGCACGACTTTGTCGAGTATAAAATCTTGTCTCAAAAGTGTGAAGTTATCCTGAAACGTTTGAAAGACACCAGACTCTAGATTATGCTCTGAAGGTATCGCATATTTGTTTCATCATCTTTAGTTTATGAAACTGTATGTGTTAAAATAATCTGAGAATTCACTACAACATAATCAACTCTGACTGCATTCAAAGATTTTCTGAAACTTTTGAAAAAATTTTAAAAAAAAATTATAAAATATAAAAAAATCTTGTTTTTTTGAAAAAAGTGAAAAAAAAATTGGGTCTTGAGAAAAACCAATGGAAGATTTAACCCCCAACTTTTACTATTCCCCTATGTTAGTCAAAAATAAATTCTTAAATTTTCCAATGTCAATCAAGTTGATGAAGATGTATGGAAAAAAATATGACTTTTTATTATTATAAATAGAAGGAAAATTTGAAGAAAAAAAAAACTTTTTTGATGTTGTCAAAGATTGGACGAAGAAAATAATATATAATAATTTTGATGAAATAATTACTATTTAATTATCAATCAAAGAGATAAGATTGTTGTATTGAGAATTTTTCGAATATTTTCCTTGTGGATGACAAAAAAAAAACATGAAGTCATATAATATTATCTTTATTATATGGCAAAGTTCAATGCATTAATTCTGTTATTTTATTATAATAAAGATCAAGCAGCAAAAAAAAACAAAAATTCTTTCATTTTGAATTATATTTCATGTTACAGAGGGTATCAGGATGTGCCAGGAGTGTTATTATAAATAATTTCATTCAAAAAAAAGGGGAAAATAAAAATCTTTGCTCGATCACAGCACACAAGCATATAAAGCTTTTTGACGACAACAACCCCTACTTTTGCGTCACTACATTACAATAAAAAACAAGAATTTGTCTACAGAAAAGCAAAACTCTACAAAACATGATGCAAATCCATTCTGGCAATATTCATTTCAATTGCGGTAACTCTAAAGAAAAATCAATATTTTGAGCTACTCAACTTTATTTAATTCTACCGATTTTATTATTATTTTAGTAGTAAAAATTAGTGAAAAGTGTTGCTAACTGCTTAAATTAATGAATAAAGTTGGAGTACAGTGCAATATGTTTAATTGTGCTCAAAATAACTCAAATTAAAAAGAATTTGCCTAATAAAAAAAAAAAATTTCTAACACAATCACACACACGCCCTCTTACAAGTAAAGAAAGCTAAAGCTTACTTACTTCTTTTTTCCTATTTGATCAATAAAATTCAATTGAGACGAGCAAGTGAAAATAAATTCTCGTTCTTTTTATTTTGACATAAAGAAATTAATTTTTTGTGAGTGCAAATAAAAACGGTATTAAGCTTAAAAGTAACATTTACGCATTTTCATCAAAGGTTCTGACAGAAAGGCGTAATAAAAAAAAATAATCAATAAATCTCAGTGTAAGTGCATCTATTCAGTAAACGAGGAAAACAAAGTGTTAGTTACAATGACGGGAGACATAGCAATGCAAACCGACGACTCTAATTGTAGTCAAAATGGAGATGCTAAGGTCTCTAAAAGTATGCTTACAAATGAGAATCGTACGAATCTCATTGTTAATTACCTCCCGCAAACCATGACCGAGGAGGAAATTAAAAGCCTTTTCTCAAGTGTTGGCGAGGTTGAAAGTGTTAAATTAGTACGCGACAAAAATAATATACCCTTCCCACCAAATCCCTTAAATCCCAACTCGATACGTGGCCAATCACTCGGATATGGTTTCGTTAACTACCGACGTACACAAGACGCTGAGCAGGCCGTTAATGTTCTTAATGGTCTACGCTTACAAAATAAAGTCATTAAAGTCTCATTTGCGAGACCCAGCTCGGAATCGATTAAGGGTGCAAATCTCTACATCTCTGGCTTACCAAAAACAATCACACAGGAAGAACTTGAGGAAATTTTCAGACCGTACGGCGAAATAATTACATCACGAGTATTGACACAAGAGGGAAATGATAAGTTAAAAGGCATTGGATTTATTCGTTACGACCAACGAAAGCAAGCCGAGAGAGCAATTTCAGCATTAAATGGCACTACACCCAAAAATCTGACTGAACCGATTGTGGTGAAATTCTCAAATACACCGGGGCAGAACAAGCAAAGTCCAACGCCAATCATACCGGCATTTTTAAATCCACAAATCACTAGACGATTGGGAGCCATTCATCATCCAATAAATAAGGGATTGGCAAGATTTTCGCCGATGGCTGGCGATGCATTGGCTATGGATCCAGCATTAGCAATGTTACCAGCGACAAATGGTACAATCACAAGTTCTATTGCGACAGGCGGTGGCTGGTCCATTTTTGTCTATAATCTCGCACCAGAAACTGAGGATAATGCATTGTGGCAGCTATTTGGGGTAATAAAGTTTTTCCTTTTCTTTTTGCTTATGATTTTAATCATTTTCTGTTGACTATCGCTTGATATCCCTCAAACGAGACATGTGGAAAATTTAAATGGAAGCTTGATACAGCGGCCATTTATAAAATTTTCCATGCCTGTATTTTTTGCTTGGCAAACAAATTTTCTTCTCCTAATTTATTCATTTTTAATTTTTTTTTTCTTTATTTTTCCTACTTTTACTAATCAAACAAAAAATCAAAAATAAAAATCCATAAATAAAGCCCTTCGGTGCAGTGACAAATGTTAAGATAATTAAAGATAATGCAACGAGCCAGTGCAAAGGCTACGGTTTTGTTACAATGACAAATTACGAGGAAGCAATGTTGGCTATAAGAGCGCTAAATGGATACACACTTGGAAATCGAGTGTTACAAGTCAGCTTCAAGACAAACAAAACTAAGTAAATCTCATTTTTTTATAATATTTCTATAATATTTTTTGATAATTTATAAGCGAATTTACAAAAACATTAGAAGCATAAATATATACAAATAAATATATTAAGAGACATTGTAGAGGTGCTGTCTATTAAATGTGACAACTCTTTGAAACATTGTAATAATTAGCAATATTTATGAATGGGACTAGTCCAAGGGTGTGGAACTGATTAATTTTGAATCATTTCTGATTATTTTAATCTATTTTGATCAATTTAGAAACATTTTGATTACTTTTGGTCAAATTTTAACAATTTCGAATAATTTTGAATCATTTAAAGTATTTTTGACCAATTTTGAATCATTTTGAATCATTTAAGGAACAATTTTGAATCATTTTGATTATTTTTGGATCAATTTCGAACCATTTTGAACAATTCTAATTAAGATCAATTCCACACCAATGTTCTAATCCAATATATATTTATTATTCTCTTGATTTTGAATAGTTCTCTGACAATTAATAATTATTTTAATAAGGTACGATTTATTTTAATTGATTATTTTTCTTGTTTTTCTTTTGTTTCATTTCACAGTCAGTTACAAAATTGAATTCTTCACACTCACACATAAAAAATTGAAAGAAATTTTTTAAAAAAAATAATTTAAATTTAAAAAAAAAGTTTAAGCTAATAACATAAAAGGGAAGATTGAATCTATTTGTAGTGTAACATGCATATGAGCATAAGTTATAGCTATGATGCTAATGAGTGAGACATGAGCGATTTTATTGAAAGTCGCTTCATGAACAAAAAAAAAAGATGAATTACAGACAAAACAAAAAAAAAGTAAATTATAATATGTAGATTGTGTGAAGCCTAATACATAATATAATATAATTTTTTCTTATTTCTTCTTTTATTTATGGATGTAATGAATGTGCAGTTGTCTGGCTTCATACCACATTATTTCCTTTTACTTCTTACAATATATCGTTCAAATTAAAGATAATTCTCTTTTTTACGTTTGATAAGATATCGTGAAGAGTAAATTCATGCTTAGCATAGATAATTGAAAAGGAGAAATTTCCATATGAAATTATATCGTAGGACAAAAGTATTGAATAGGAAGGAAAGGAAGAAAAGAATCATTATAAGAGTATCATATGCAGTATCACATACACAATTTTTTTTTAAAAGAATTATATATGCTAGTAAATATAAATTTAATCAGAATTGAATGAAGAGAATATTAACATGGGCAAAAGAGCATAAATCAGGTTTTTTTAAATGCACAGATACGTCTGTATTTGTACTAACAAATGATTAAAATCAGTAAAAATGCAAAAGCATAAAAACAAGCGAGCGCAGGAAAGTAAGAATGAATGAAAGAGAAAGAGGATGTGTGTGTGTGTGTGTGTGGTTAGAACATAAAAATGAAAAAAGGGAAGAATAAAGCGGCGCATAAAGTAAGAATTTTGTAGCAGCATTGTAAATGTAACAGACAGAGAGATTGGAACAAGGATCATTGACCTTTTCCTAGATACCCAATTTTATATTTCGCAATGGAACTCAACACATACATATTTCACGTATGTTCACGTTGTGTTTGTGCGCCTGTCGAGCAAAATTTACAGAAACAAAAAAGACTACAAAAGAGAAGTCGAAAAAGTTTTTAGTTGAAAAATTTTATACATCTAGGGGTTGATTTTCCTTTCTATACACCACTCTTCTCTTTGTTCTTTGCATTCATTCATTCATTCATTCAACCCTTAATAAATATACAAGATATGAAAAAATTAAAATTATATATTATACACACAGCAATTTTTAAAAGTCTACATAGAGACATGAGACTCTGAAAAAAATAATATTCAACTTGCTTTCTTGCCAAACACACACAATCAAAATTCAATGCCGGTTTTGTACAAAATGTAATACAAGTTTATATAGAAGAAAATATGAAAATGAAAAAAAAATTATTATGAATCGTGACGACCGCGTAGAGTCGTGAAAAATGTGAAAATTTTTACTTCGTAGGATTTATTCGCTCATTTCATGCAATAGTAACAAGCAAAAACTTAATCTAAACAAATTTTTTTATATGTAACGCGAATAGAAACACAAAAAAAAACCATTTATGATTTATTTGCTCATACCAGATTCCTTTTAAATATTGCTAGAAGTAAAAATCAACAACTAAGCATTCAAAGCGTTCCAGACACTGATTGTGGAAAATGATATTGATTTTATTTTTCCTTTCTTCTCTCACTTATTGTATATATATATGCATACTTGATATTTCTCCTTTTATTACAAAAAAAGTACGAAAAATCAACCAACAAATTCCAAAAAAAAAAAAAAATATTTAAAATTCTCCCTTTTCTGTTTTACATTTTGTGGTAGAGCTAAATTGAAATTTTTACTATCTCATATTATAAAATTTTAAAAAAATCATTATTATGTAGAGTTACATGGCTTATTATTAGAAAAGTGAATGATGATATTAAACTAGAAATTCAATAGTGAATTGGATATAAAAAAATATATAAATATAACTGATTAAAGCCCACCCTACGACAACATCTATAATTTCTTATTATGGTAGTGATTTACATAAGCACAACCATGTGCTCATGTACACAAATATAAAAGAAAGGAAAAAATTCAAAAATGAAAGCTATGTTAAATAAGGATATATAAAAATGAAAAAGTCTAGTCAAAATTGTAGATTTAAAGCTATAAATTTTTTTAGAATTATTTTATAATTAATTATGATAATTTTTTAATTTGTGTATTTATTATGAGGCAAAAAACAAAAGTGAAAACTATTTATTTACAATTTATCGAATATCCGTACCTACATAATAATTTTAATTTTATTATATTTAAAAAAAAATCTAGTGAATCTTTGAAAACCTTGTTTCAAACACCCTCCACTCCTACTCTCAAAATTTTATTTTTCTGGTGGGGTACTTTTGGGGTTTGGATGAGTTGTGGGTGATTTGATGCTTCAATTAATATTTAAGGTTAGGAGTTTTGTGCATTAATGCTAAATGTGTTGAAATACACCTGCTTAGTAGTTTAAACTACTAATATAAAAGTCTAAACCACAATCAAGCTATCATTTGATAGAAAGACACTCTAGCGATAGCAAACCTTAAGATCCTTACCAAAACCGGGTACCTAACCCACACCAAACTCAATTCAACCCCCAAAACCCTCCCTAAAATTAACAATCTTGCTTTATTTCAATTTCACACTCAAAAGAAATGATTGAGAATTAAAACAAAAAATGCAATGATGAAGAAATTTAAAATACTTAAACTATTCCATTAAGTGATTAGGATGAATTTTAATGATATTATTAATTTAATGATGAAATTTTCTTTAAAAGAAAAAACCTCAAATTTTAAAAATAAAATCCCAAAAAAAATGTTGAAAAAGTAAACTAAAGAAACTGAAACCAATGACATTTTGCAGTGCAAGCCATATAAATATAAATTTATGAAGATAATATTTATTAAATAATAATATTATTTAAATGTTATGCTCTACATTTAGTCAGTCGGAGCAAGATATTAAATGATTGCGTTATAGAGATAGACAAAGCATGAAAACAAAAAAAAAACCTTAGAAGCGCATTCCAATTAAAATTAAAAAAATTATTTATTAAAAATAGCATACGATGTGAATTTTTGTCGTTTTGCAATAAACATTATTTTATTCATTAATTGACTTTTTTTTTTATTGCATCACGACATTTTCCATCACTAATTCTTTTCGATATGAATTTATTACACACATACACACACACTCACTGAATGAAACAAAATGATCTCATTTCATATAATGAAAGAAATACAACAAAAAAAACTGCAACTAAAAATTCATCTCGATTTTTTTTATAAATTAATTTAATTCATTTTGTTTTCGAAAATCAAAGAAAAAACCTACGAAAATGAATGTTATTGATAAATGCATAATAATTTATTATTCAATCATAATATGCTATAAGGCAGAATGCTATAAGGATAGAATAATTTTTTTCATGTTTAAATTAAAATTTAAAATACAATTTAATCATTTTTTTTTCGCCGTGATATATGAGGCTAACGCATATAATACAATTCACAATACGTGCATAATTAAATATGTATGTAAAAATATATAAGGAACATGTGTCACAACCTGATTTGGTTTACACATTTACTTTACTTAACAAAAAAAAATATATATATACATCACAATAACAACAAAGAAAACGTAACTCATTATTTTTTACACAGTGAGTAAATATGAATGAACCCCTATATGTGTCTGATAATAACAGAAACATACAGGGGTCGGGTACTCGATATAGCTTAAATTGTAGACTAGTGATAATCAACCAGTGTGATGAAAAAATTCAGGAAAGCCCACGAATAAAACGCTGTGTGCGTTTTTAGTCATGGCTTACCATCAAGGTGTACCGTGGCAATTAAAAAGGTTGTCAACCACTGATATAGACCATGAGAATCTAACCTGGAAAGCACAAGTCGATTAATCGATCAGAAATCCGTGACTCTAGCGTGGAAACGACTTTTTATCTAATCTATTTCCATACTTGAGCCTTACCAGCTTAGGTCTTATTCCTAGACATGAAGTAGCTTAGTCCAGTTTTCTTAACTTGTTAAGCTTTCAGACCACATAACAGTAAATCATCCGTTTATCTGTTCGCGCTATGATAGCTGCTACTAAAGACACACTTAGTATGAACAGTAGCGCTCCGTGGAGCAGAGTTTGAGAAAAACTACCCTTTGTCATGGATCTAAGTTAGTCTGTTGTCATACACTTGATATAATCTAACCTGGTTAGCTCTAAGTCAAACTCCAGTTGCATACTTTTAGGTTAAGCTCAAGTTATACTGTCTGAAGCTACCATTAAGGTATACTCAGATATACAACTAAGCTTTACCTCTAGAACAACACACCTAGAAAAAGTAAAAGTATAAATCAAAAGCTATATCGAGTATCCGACCCCTGGAAAGGTTTACTTGCATTTTCTACAAACATCCTCATGATAAAGTAATATTTAAAGAGACGACATCATTAAACAGATGATCAAGTGATGAGAATGTATTACAAAAAAAGAAGTGAAAAAGAAATCTAGTCTAAAGTATTAATGTGCAATTTAAATAAGGGAAAAAAAAATTCACAGATGGATGGAACGAGCTATTTTCATCTACGAAATCTATAAGCTTATGATTATTTTCATTCATCACAGAAACCAAAACTCTTTTTTGTTTTAATATTTACGAGAAAAAGACATCAGATATTTTTTTTTCGTGCAACTTCAACAACATTGATATATCTACGACACATGGCAAGAGGAAATCAGTAAATATTATTCAATGACAAATTATATTTTGTGCTAATTCTGCTGCTTCTATGCAATAGTTTATTTATTTTCTGTCATAAATTTTTTATTTAACAGTTATAGATTTTCATCCACGCTATATTATTTTGTATCTAACAACATCAGTAGACCGATGATTTTTTTTTTTAATTTTTTATTTTCATTTTTCATTTCTTTGGTTTATTTTTTCACATTTTTTTATTATTATTTTTAGAAGAAAAAAAAAGTATGTATCTTTCTTCCTTAGTAGAAGAAAAATCTGCGATGAAAATTTATCTTATTTTATGAGTTTCTTTATATTTTATGATCAAATTTTTTGGTTTTTTTAAATATCATTAAATTAGTTTTATTATTATTTCAATCCCATCACTTTGATGAATCGCTTTATTATTTTATATTTTTTTTTATTTATTTACTTCTCTCTGTCTTTTCTATCAAAACAATCTGAAGAAATTTTTTTCTTTTTCATCTTAAATTTTCTTTTTGAGGTTAATTTCACTAAGGATGGGTTTAAGTTTGTTGATGAGATTTTGGATGTGTTAATAAGAATTGAATCTGTATTTTTTGATCATTTTCTAACGTTCTGGTTGGAATAATGGTAATTTCTGAGAGATTTTGAAACTTTTCAATCAATTAAGATTGATAGTTTAAAAATAATCTGATCTTCAAGTTGACAATTTAATCTTTTTTTTCATGAAGCAATTTAAATTTTTTTGATACTATTCACAAACTTTACAATTGATTTTGAGTTGTAAGTTGAAGCTAATAAGAAGCTTAGCTAGTTAGCAATTTAAAATTTGACATAATACTAGTTTGCTAAATTAGCCTTTTTTTCAAAAATACAAAGCTCTTTACAAGATAAAACCCAAAACAAGACATCCAGAGCAATTTATTGCTAGTTTAAAGACAGAGTTACTCAATCAATCAAAAATTCAAAAAACAAAATCATGAAAAATTCAAAAGTTTTCCAAAAAAACACACGATATCAATTAAGTTGTCCAACACTTGACCGTCATTAAACTTTCATGTCATCTAAATAAGACACAAGTCTTAAATGACCTGCCAAAATGAAGAAAAACATGAAATTCCCCTTTAGTGAAATTAAAACTCAAAATAAAATAACTTCAATCGCTTCTTGTAAAAAG